AAAATAAAACTTTTACATCAAAATAAAAAAAATTACGGAAACTCTTTTTAATTTAAAATTAACTAACCAAATTATATTATTTTCCTTGCAATATTTTTTCAAGTAGACTATTAGGTAAATATTTTTAATATAGAGTAAAAGAAAATACATTTTACTTGAATAAAATTGTAATGAAAAGTTGTTTATTTCTAAAATACTCTTCTAAGAAGAAATGTATTTGACTTTAAATTTAAATACTTTAAATATGAAAATTTGAATAGCTTTTACAAAATAATTAAATAAAAAATTATTAAACAATTATTAAATCATTTAATCAACTAAAGAAATAGCTTATGTATATTTAAATACTTTAAATTTTATATAATATGAATCTTCATATACTAATAATCCATTTAATTGTATAAGTGTTTTATAAAATAATCCATTTTTTTAATAAAAAATTTTATCTCATAATATATTTGACCCTTGATAAATGAGTATTTATAGTTTATATGGAAAATATTTTTTATAGATTTAATAATATTAATAAGAATATGCATTATTTATTTACTTTTATTGTTTAAAGATATATTAGATTTAATATTTACTATTAATTATTTAATGTGAAATTTGTAATTATGCTTTGAAATACTATATAAAATTAGCCATTTACCTAACTTTGTATAGATCAAATAATATAAAATATTACAACCTAATTTTGAGAAAAATCAAAGTTTTGCAAAAGAGATTATAATTTATTTACAAGTATTAAATATTATTGATTTTTAGTTTTAATGAAACTAACTATTTAAAATTGGCTTTTTATCACATTTATCATGATTTAATTTTGTATTTTTTTTAATAATAAAGCATTTTTAAAAAATGTAATAAAATATTTTTTATGGATAAATTTTTTAAAATAAATTAAATTTATCCCATTCATTATGAGGTTTTTTATTCATAATTTTACTTTTGGATATAAATTCAATATTTAATAAAAATAATGGTAATGTTTATGAAAAGTTAAGTAATAAAAGTATGTAAATATCAATTCTTAATAAATGCTTCAAGAAATTTTGATTTATTAAAAAATTTAGAATTATAAGATAAATATCAAATTTCCTCCTATTTAGGTAATAAGTTGATAAGATCAAAAAATTGAATGAAGATATTTAATTAATTTAATGTTTCATACAAATTTTATATTTCAATGTATTCTAATGATATTTTTGATTGATAAAATAAAAAATATCCTTAATTGATACTTAATTCTTTTATAAAGAAAACTAATAAATATTATGATAAATGGCAGATAAAATATATTAACCTATTTTTAAATTGATATCTTTATTTATTATCAAATTTTTAAGATTTATTTAAATATATTGAAATAATATTTACATTAACCAAATTTGTCTTAAAATTAAATTTTAAGGGAAGAAATAACAGAAATATTAATTTACCAATTTGTATAAAATCCAAATAAATAAAAATTTATTTGAAGTAATATTAAAAAATACAATCTTTCCTTAGTATTATAAACAATCTATCAAGCTACCTTTTTTTGATGATTGTAAATATTATGTAAGATTGAAAACTCAAATGATTTCTCATCTTAACATTATTTATTTTAAATGTAATATATTTTTAAACTTACCTTAAAATATATTTTTTTTAAATGAAATATTTTTTAAAACTTAATAACTTTAAAATATATATTTAACTATTCAACAATTTTTAACATATTATAAAAAAATTAATAAATATTGCAATAGTGTAGAGCAAATATTTTATAAAAACCATAAATTATATCATGCACATCATTTATTATTTTGTTAAGCAAGTATGGATTCTTATTAAATATGTATTAATCGAATTTTTTTAAAATTAATTTTAAGGAAAGGAATAACGGAAATTCGTTAATCCATTTTTTTAATAAGTCGATTACGAGTTTGATGAAAATTTTTGATTAAGATTTAATCAGATATAAATTAATAATTAATGGATTCTATCACACTTTCAATTAATTAATTTATTATATCAAGCGGGTAATGATTTGATACATAATCTTAATAAAATTAAGATTTTTGAGGTGTAATTTATTGCATTTATTTTATTATTCATTAATAGATAGGATTTTTTCTATTTTTAACTAGCAATAATCTTTTGAAAATAAAATATATTCATCAATTTAGATTGTTTTATAGAACAAAAACAAATTTAAATGTTTTAGCTTTTTTAGTTTCATCGTAAGCATATTTCTTAATGAAATGAGGCGAAAAACGAATTTTATTAGATATTCTTTGAAGCTTTTGCTCATTTTTCAGCTTTTATTCCAAAAAAATAAAGAGATAAATAAGAATCGATTATAATATTGAAAATTGTAAGTAAAAAAATATATCTACTAATAAATATTGATAAATAATTAGTTAAAATTTTTTAAAATTATTCAAAGCTAGCTTTAAATGATATAAGTAAATTGAATTTTAATTTTAAATTGCTAAAATATTTTTTTTGTTGAAAAAATTATTACATTTATTTTCAAAATTTGTTATTATAAATTTCTATTGATTTTCATTTAGATATTTTCTCCTTTTCATTTATGCAAGCTTACTTTGATTTAAAATTCTGATTAATTCTAAATTAAAGAGAAATATATATGAAAATAGTTAAGTATCATTTTGTGATATATTGATTTTGATAATAATTCAATTTATTGATGATTACTGATGAATTTTGATTTATATTAATTAAATAAATATTTATTTTGATATTAATGAGGATATAAACAGGATAAATTAAATTACGATTATTTAATCATTAATCAAATTGAATAAAGATTAATGTTGCTTAACTTAGATTTTTTATTAAGCCACATTATCTAATACTTTTTCTCATGTTAAAAGAAATTCTATATACAATAAAATGCAAATTTTTAATAAGAATTTTTTAACTGTAATAAAAATCAAAATACAAAAATTAATTTGCAAGATAAATAAGGGTTTATATGTAAACAGTAATAAAAATAAATTGATGCAGTTTATAAGTCAATAAATAAAGATTAAATTTAATTCTAAATGACTTAATTAAAAGCAAACTCATTTATCCATTAGCAGTTTTTTTAAATTTCGAATTTTGTAAATAAAGAAAGAAATTTTTATATTTAAAGTTATTTTAATCAATCAAAATGTTTAATACGAAATTGGTAGCTAATTTTACAAACAAATTATAATTAAGTTAGACTAATTTCATTTTAAGGTAAATATTTTTTTTAATTAAAGTAAATTAAAATTTTAATTAAAAATCTTTAAAAAAACACCCTAGATTTATTATTCGAATAATTAACTGATTGCATATATCAGAAAAAATATTTTTTTAACAAACTAGCTAGCTAGTATAAAACGTTAAAATTATTTAGTTGTATTCCTCAAAAGAAAATAAATACTAGTAAATTATTTTATTAAATAATAATTTTATATTATTCTAGGTAAAATATTTTGTTTTTCTATAAATAACTTCAGCTTTTTAAATAATAAGTAGTATGAAGCAAATAAAAGTTGAGGCAATTTTATATTTATAACTTTATTTTTAAAATTAATTTTGCTTTGTATCAATTATTTATAAATTTGAGTAATAAACCCTTCAAATAAATATAAATAATTAATTATGAAATAAAACAAAATTAAGTAGAATAATTACTAATAAAATGCTTTAACCAAAAGAAGACGAGATAATAATTATGAAAAATATACTCTATTTAGCTGAGAAAGACAAAAAATCCATTCAAAGTGAAAGAAACCTACTAAATAAATGGTTCTAAGATTCTATAAAAAGTTATATTTTGGAATCAATTACATATCCTCTGATCTCTGAACATCTTAAAATATACTCATCCGCAGGAATCAAAGCATTTATCCATGAAAAAACAGACAAAAATAAACCAAAGTATATGGGAATCATTGAATAATATTTTATCCAGATCAAAAAGTACAACTAAAGTGATATTTTTCTAAAAAAACTTCATTAAATTCTGTTGAATCCTATTGATATTACAAAATTAAAAGAAGAATAAAACTATAAAATTTTAAAAACTGTCAGAAAGCAATTTGTATGTTTTTTAATCCTAAGGTACTTTGAAGTATATGGAATACTAGAAATTCCCTCATTTTATGAATTGTGGAACATCTGCTTCCCTTAAGAAATTCAAATTAAAAAAAAGCTATCAAAATTTGACAAATATGTTAAAAATAAGTAGTAAATCTAGATCGATGATTAATTGGATTTAAATAATTCCTTTTAAAATTCGTCTAGTTTTATAAATAGCAGCGTTTCTCTAAATTTTACCATCTAAACAAATATCTAAAATGAATAAGAAATTCATTCTACTTTTTTGTCTTAAAAAATAAAAGGCTTAGATTAATCAAATATTTAATTATCTGAGGATAATTAGACGAGCTATGAATATATTTTCTGTTCTTAGAAGTAACCAATTAATAACCAGATATTTGAAGAGGACAGCTATTAATAGGAATCCATGAGTCATTTTCTAAAATTTCATAATAACAATTATATTACATACTAAGAAGAGTAATGCCTCTCTCACTAAAATAATTACGAAGAAAACTATTAAGAAGTATATGAAAATATTTACGAATGAATTTTTTTGAAATTATTATTCAAAAATTATTTATCTCCTAAAAAAAAAAATTAATATAAAAATTATTACAAAAAAAAATCAAATCAAAAAAAATAACTAAAGTTAGAATACCTATTATTAAAATATTTTCTCTGACATTAATTCCAACTTAATTTATTATTTTAAGAAAATGAAATACCTTTTATAGCAATAAATAACAAAATTAATTATTTAAATAACTTTTAATTGTATATCTCTACTCCATAAATATGTAAACTAAATCAAATTGTAATTTAACTTATCAAATTTAATATTATTTCTTTTAGATTAATTATGAAAAAGGTTTTATTTAGTTAGACATTGAGTTTTTTTCCTAATACTTAGCCTTCTTGTTCACTTGAAATCTCGCTTTCTCGAAAGTTTCGATACTAGTTATAAAATGGTATTCCCAATATTATGATAAATACAAATAGACCTCAATAAATAATTGTTACTTTTCTAAATATTAATTATGCAAGAAATTATTTAAATTAAACGAGAGAGTAAACTAGTAAAAAATGAATTGAAATATGTATACAAATCTTATTTTTAATATGAGTTTAACTGTAATCCTTTTTCTTTTAAACATTATTAAAATCTATTAACTATGATAAATAATTCTTTTTAAACATGAGTCCACATTAATATTTAGCATGTATTAATATATTTATTTATTTATACTTGATTTATTTCCACAATAAATTTGTAGATAATTAAATTTTTTTGTTTAATTCTATATCATAAAATATTAGTATTAAAAGGGTATTTATTATCTTACTTTCTTAATTTTAATTCAATTAAATTATAAATACATTATTTGTTAGCAGATAGATCTTAACAAGTAACTATCTTGAAACCAGAAATCGTCGAATCTAATATTTTAGAATCATTAGAATGCTATAAGAAGTAAGACAATATTTAAATGATGTACTTTTGATTAATTTATTGCATATAAAATATGACAAATTTATATTTTAAAATAAATAAATTGCAAAGAAACATAGAAATAAATTATTTTTTTGGGTATATAAAAGCCATGATAAAAATTAATATTTTTAACAGTAAATTAAATGCAAATTATTCACTTATAAGCATTCTTTTTGATATTATAGCTAATATTGGAATTACCAAAATTAATTTAAATGTTAAATATTTTTTAACATAATATCCCCATACTTTTTGGAAAGAAAGCATTTCTCATATGTGAAAAATCTTATAAAATAGTTATTAGTCATACATTTTATAGTAAAAAAAGAACTTAATGATGAATTGCAACAAATATTTTATAGTTATTTATTAAAAATTAATTCATTAAATTTACTCAGTTCATTAACAACCTTTACTTTTATATATTTTTTAAATTCACTAAAATGATCAAAATAATTATTTTTTTATTTAAATTGAGCTTTTAACTAATACTTCTGAAAATATCTGTTTTATCTACTTTTAGTTTCCTCTCTTAAGTGTACGAGACTATTAATATTATTTAGAGGAAAAAAATTTTATTAATACAGACGCTTGAAACAAACATAAATGTTAAATTATTCAGTTCTTATTTTTGCCATAAATCATTTTAATCTGCAATTAATTTTAAATATCATAATATAGATATATAAATATTATGTTGTTTGTGGTAAATAGTAAGCAATTTTATCACAGAAACATAGTTAATTATCTTAAAATAATAAATAGATTTTTCATTAAATATTTACCTGTATTTAAACTAGCCTAATTTGCCTTAAAATTAATTTTAAGGAGAGAAGTAATGTTTCTTTTTTTGTCTGTTTCATCATAAAAAATAAAAAAAAATGTATTAATGATTGGGAATTTTATTTTAAATTGAATTATTCTATTTTTGCAAACGGGTGGGTAATTAATTATCTTGCCTCCAATATTATTTAAATAAAATTAAGTTTTAGATATCTTAAGAAAATCTAATTACATACATTTACACCATAATTTATCAATATGATTTTTTGTATTATTTATTTAGTAAACAATAAGTTTTTTAAATTGTATAATACTGTAAGATAGATCTGCTCTCATTAATCAAGACTCTCATAATTATTTAAAGCGAGTATAAATTTATGAGAGAGAAATACATTAATTGATAAGAGTCTAAAATATATTAATAAACTTTTCAATTTAATTAACAAGAAAAGTATTCCATAATTTTTCTTTAAGAAATATCTATCATAAGCATATGTTTATCTAATTCAATTCAATAAAAAGAAACAATTTATTTTAGATATTATTTTTATTCAAGGTTTCTTTTGCAAAATTCGCAAATTTAATTAATCTAAAAAAGAGAAGAACAATTGATAAAATTATAAATAAGTAAGTAAATTTATATGTTAGAAAGTATAAAATAATGCAAATAATTACAAAAGAATATGTAATAAATTAATACTTTTTTACATTAATTTTATTAATTCTGAACTTTTTATAAGAATATGAAAAGTAAGTTATAATTTAAGATAAATTTTTATATGTATTCTATTTTTTAAATGTTTATTGAGAGTTAAAAAAAACTTTTTATCTTTTTTATATCAAGCGAGATAGATTATCAGTTTATCAATCGATTTATTTTTTAGTTTGATATTAATTTATTTAATAATAAACGCATATATGAGCATTTATTTTAAATAATATCAATCGAACTGTATAGTTAAGATTTGAAAATTTAATTAATGCTTAATAAAAGAATTTAATAAATAAATAAAGAGATTAATTGTAATTTTTTTATTTTTTTATAACTATTTAGTTTATTATAATTTCTGATAACCTTTTTTTTTACATTTATTTAATTATTTTTATGAGGCTATAAACACACTCAGAAATAATTAATATATTAATAATCATTACAGATAACATTATTTAATGATTTACTTGGATTTTATCAAGAGTATTTTTACATCTGTTTTTAAATTATAAAAAATTTTTAAAAGATAAGGAATATTAAGTAAATTAAATAAATTGCCTTTTGATTATTTATTTCCTTTTCTAAATAATCATTTACACATGTAACAATTATCAATTTAAGTTTATATAGGAATTTTTACTCTTGAGACCTATATATATTCTTTTTCATTAACTTTAGCCTTTTAATTTTAATAATTATCTTGAGTTAGGACAAATTTGAGTTATGAATCTGAATTAATTAATTATATTTAATAGGTGTATTTAACTGTAATAATCATAATCTACAATAAATATAAGTGCTCATATGTGAAAATTATTTCAATTTCTTTGTTAACTATCTCACCCTTTAAATTGTTTTCATTTCAATTAATGCTGATTAAATTTCTAAAGAATTCATTAGGTCTATTAAGTGATTCTTTTAACATCAAATTCATGAATGATGAATGGATAAACAAAGTAATTTTAATATAAAAAAATATTTAATCAAAACAATTGATTTAAAATTTGTGTGGAATTCATAAACAAGAATGTATTTGATAAGATTTTTTTAGCTGCAATACCTTAATTAAAAATAACTAAATAGTCTTTAATCATCAGTACTCCCTTATTTCTTCCTTTTCTGAAAAATTTTTACAAAGTACATAGTTAGTTGACTATTAATTTATTAAGTTAATTATCTATTTAGTTAGTTAGTTATCTTGCTAGCAAACTAACATAAAATATGCTTAATAGATAAATCAAAAGAATAACTAAATTATTTTAATTAATAGGCTTTATACTTATTAAAAAACACTTTGTTACATTAAATTACTTAAGAATGGAAACAGATTGAAAGTAAGTTAAATTGAACTTGATTAGTTTGTAATATTTTTTCAAATAGTCTAATGAAACCCTCAATCAAATATAAATAAATAAATTAAAAAAATTTAACTATAAAAACAATAATAATAACTATCAACGAGAAATGCATTATTCAAATATTTAAGAGGAAATAATAGTGAATAATATACTCTACTTAGCAAAGAAAAATAAAAAATTGATTGAAAGTGAAAGAAATCTACTAAATAAATGGTTCTAAGATTCTATTAAAAGTTATATTTTGGAATCTACTGCATCTACTTTGATATATAAATATCTTAGGTTAAAATCTTCTGCAGATGTCAGAGCTTTCATCCATAAGCATACAGACAAATATAAACCTAAATATATGTCAATAATTGAATAGTATTTTATCTATATCAATTAATGCAACTAAAAAGACCACTTTTTAAAAAATCTTAACAAAATTCTTATGGATCCTGTTGATATTACTCATTTAAATACAAACGAGTAAAATTACATCATTTTAAAAACTGTAAGAAAGCAATTTGTGTGTCTTCTAATCCTAAAGTACTTTGAAATTTTTGGATAGCTAGAAATTCCTTCATTTTATGAATTGTGGAATACCTTCTTTCCATAAGCAATTCAAATTAAAAAAAAACGTTCAAAATTTGACAAATTACATGAAAGAAAAATGCCAGCAAGTGATATTAAAAATCAAGCAGAATTAAATAACTCGCTTTAAAATTCTTCTGACTCTTTTATTAATTAAACTTCTTTTGATTTTTCTACCAACTAAAATCTCTCAAATTAAAAAGAATTACCTTCAGATTTTTCTTCTTCACAAATAAATAACTTTGATTAATAAAATCTACAATAATCTGAAGAAGAATTAACATATTAAAAGGTCCTCTATTCTTAGAAGTAGCCTATTAACAATAAAATATTTGAAGAGGATAGCTACTAATAAGAATCCATGAGTCATTTTCTCGAACTTCATAATAATTATCATAAATTTTAATATATGGAGGACTTGAGTAACTAAAATATATGCTAATAAAACTATTTAGAAAATAATGAATAAATCTGAATATGAATGAATTATTATGAATATATTAATAAAAACCTAATTATTAACTATAAAAAAACAAAAATTAATAAAAAATAATCATCAAAAAATTAATTCAAATAAGATCCTTTTCTAAAATCATCATAAAATTATAAATTTTATTAACTTATTCTTTATCAACACTCATTCCATTAATTTACAAAAATAATAAAAACCTTATTCATTGTAACAAATAATATAATTAAGAAATTTATTAAAAGTTTTTTATATTTATTTATCTATTATATTACAAAGTAAAATAAACAAATTTTAAATTATCTGATCGTAAAACTTTTAATATATTTATTTAACTATAAAATATTTTTGTTTCTCATTATTTAACTTTAAAATATAATTTTAAAAATATGTAAAATAGCTTGGCAATAAAAATCACAACTAAAAAATGAGATATTATATTTTTTGAGGATAATCAAATTAAAATATGTTAGTTTTAATAATTTCAAGGTTCATTTAGCAAGAAGAAACCTTTTTTTTCCATGCCATCTAAAAAAATAAATACCCCCATTCTTTCTAAATTCTCTAGTAATTGTAATTCTATTTACTAATTTACTTGGCTTACTTACCTAATAACGCATTTATATATTGGTTAGTTAATTTTAATTAATTAAAAAATACCAATAATATTAATTGGGAAGAAAGTAAAGAAGACTCAAAAAAAGCTAAATATGCAGAATGCAATAGTTAGTTGTAAGCGTTTTAAATACCTCAAATAACTCTTATTGAAAATTCTCTCAAATACTATTGAGATATCATAAAATTAATTTTAATAATGTTAAATAGTTATTTTATTTTTGATACTAAATTATTTTATATATCAAAAAAGATATATACCCATTTATTAATATTACTATTATTTATAATTTTTATAGATTATTAAAAAAAGATTAAACAAAATTAGTTTTTTATTATTAATAATTAAATCAAATTTATTAATAATTGTATGATTTTCAAGTTATTTCTTCTAAAATTGCTCTAAGTAATTCTTCCTTTTTTAGGCTGATTTTGAATAACTTCTTTTAATTTTTTAGTAATTGCACACAACGCTTGCCATTTTATGAAATAGAAATATTTTAAATTTTAGTTTGGATTTGAATTTAGTTAGTTAGTTAGCATAGATAGAGTTTTTAAGTTTAAGTTTTAAAAATTTATGAAAGTATCTCAACTAATCATTATTAAGATGACAACTAATAAAAATCTTATAGACTTTAAGAGTAATGGAGATAAGAGGAAAGCGTTTTGAATTATAATACAGAATATTCCATTTTTAATTTTTGTACTAAAATATTTAAATATCTAGATGTATATAAATAGAAAAGCGATAAAAAATTATTGTAAAAAAGGAATGACTAAATGTCTAAGATGATATTTTTTACCATCAACGCTTAAATATGATTCCTTCTTTTCAAAAATCCAAATTTATTATTTACAACATCATCACAAAAAATAAATACTTATCTACATAAATTCACATTAATGATAGTCATAGCCATTAATATTGCATTAAATGACTGAAAAAAGTTTTAAATAATATATTTGATATTAAATATTATATGATTGCTAATTTGTTCTATCTTTAAACTAAACTAAACTCTACTTCTCTATCTTATATTTAAGTCAGCTTATATAAAAATAATGTTTGGTATTTTATTTTTATCAATTAAATATTTTATAAAGTTATAGCCTTCTTGCGGTGAACAAATAAAAAGGTAAAAAAAGCAAAAAAAATAGCTTAAAATTACAAAACTCTAGGTTCAAGATATTTAAAGCAAAAATAGACTCATCAAATAAGACATTCATGAATGAAATGATAGATATTGTGTAAAATAAAATAAAAATTATCAATAAAAGGGTATTTTTAAAAGCTAATTAGATAGTATATAGAACTTTCTTAGATATATTGCTTCTCTTTATCATTTATAAATAATTAGATGTTTAAAATTGATGATATGGTTCTAAAATGAGCTTATTTAGCAATTTTAATTTTGTATTATACATTTTTTGGCTCTAAAATATTATGGATTATTTTTTTTTTAATTTGCGAAGCTAGATTATAATTCAAAAATTCAGCTAAAAAGTAGGGTCGAATGTGAGAAGTAACTTTAAAAATAGTGATTAGAAATATAAATTCAGTAGCGCTTGAACATTTATACATCTGAAACTATTCTAAAAACTTTTTTTAGGGAACAACATTCTATTATGATATATGCTGTCTGTATTAACTTTTTAATTAAATAACTTTTTAATTATAAATTTAAAGAATTAAATAATTAATATAAAAAATAAAGTTTTCTTTTCTTTGTTTGTTTGTTTACGAAATTTTGAAAAATTTATCAAATTATTATTGAACTTTAGATATATTTGTTAATGAGATAATTAATATCTTTATCAATTATATTAAAAAGCATAAGTCTTTACTTCCAATCATATTTGAATGTATTTTTTTTTATTAACTTAACAAATTTGCTTTTCCAAAGATACAATTTCATTCTTTTTTCATATTTATGGCAATATGATTTTCGTTTGATAAATCTAAATTATTTTATATTTTTAAGTTTCAAAAATATAATATATTGCTAATCCTGAAATTAAAATATCACCCCAACTAACTGTTTTAGTACAGATGACTATATTTCATTTAGTTTTTATGATTTTAAGCTAATTATACTCTATCTATTTTTTAATTGTTTTTATCATTCTATTTTTAAATATTGAAAAATTTTGAAAAGCACTTAATGTCTTTTCTCAAATATTGAGCTTAAAAAAATTCTTTTTACACATTTTAGAAAATAAACATTTTTTTTCCCATTTCTAATGATTGTTCAGTTTGTTTGTAAGGGTAACAATTTAACAAGTTTTACTGTAGCTTAATAAACTTCAAAAATTATTTGTTGTATTTATTAAATATGAAAGTATGTAATCTAATTAATCAAGATTGACTTTTTCAAAAACAAATATTGGTTTTAGTAGCAATTTATTTCGGTATTACAATTTAAAATTATGTGTTTTGCTCTGTATCTTTATTTATAAATTTTCCTCATAATCAATTTGCTTGGTTTATAAAATTTTACAAATTTATTCATTTTACATTATGAAATTCATTAACAGGTAAGAAATAACCAACGAGTGAGTGATTTCTTTTAATTTATGGAAAAGTAAATAGAAGTAAACGAAAAAGCATTCTCGATCTCATGCAAAATTTTTAAAATAAATTACTTCTAAAATTTAATAAAGACATTAACAACTCATTATTTTTTTCCTTTTTAAAAATTTTGGAAGCAAATATTTCTTTTAACCCAATCATCTTTAATAAATTAAAGATTTTTATTCTATCAAATTTATTTAAATGTATAAAAAGATGATTTTATAAGCAATCTTTTTTATAATATAACTTGGTGTATTTCCATTAATTAATAAATTTGGCTTATTAGTAATGTTTAAATTAATAAAAAATGAACTAATGAAAAGCGCCAAAATATTTCGTAAAGAAAATAAAGTTTTTTGTTTAACAAAAATCATAAAATTATTCAGTTTTTAACAATTTATTTATAATTATTGCCATATTTAACTTTCATATTAATTAAATGACCTTTAGATTTTTTCCCTTTCATGTAAGCTTGATTATTGGTAAAATTTTGATGTGTTATATGAATAAATTTTTGGATTGGCTCAATATAAAAATAAATAAGACTAGCGCATACATGATTATTTACTTCAAATTACATTAATTTTAACATTTTAATTAGAGACTTATAGTTAAACTTGCATTATTATTTATTTTGATTAATTTTGCATAGAGGCTTGAGGTAATTAAAGTTTTTTGATATGTGTTTTAAATAAATTTAACTTTGCTAAGATGGAAGCTATCGAATTTCATATTAATGGTTTAACTATTATATGACTTCGATGCTATTTTTAAATATTAAAGGGAGTTATATTTTCAGATATAGATTCAAATAGAAAAATAAGTTTCTAAAAAAAAGAGTTTTAGTTGAAGTAAAAATTAAGAGAAGATAAATATTAGCTTAGTGTTTTTTAATTATGCTATGCAATTTAAAGGATGTAAATTAAGATCATATGAATTACTTTAATTGATCTTAAAAGGGTAAATAGATAACTTTGTTTTAATGAATATATATATATCTTTTTCTTAATAATACATCTTTAATATTAGATAAGTAATCTAAATAAATAACAAATTTTGAAATTTACATTAAATTTATATAAATTTTAATTCAGAAATTTTATAATCTATTTTGTTTTCTTCTTCAATTTGTAATAATTTCTCATAGTGTAAGCAAATTAAATAGGATATTTATGAAATGGTTGATTATTTAATTTGGTCGATTTTAGAGATAGCTTAACATCAAAATAAGTGTTATATATTTTGTCAATCACATTATCTAAAATTAGTATCAAATAATTAATCAAATAAGTAAAAATGCAGATTTAAGAAAGAAAAATAGAAAACAACAAGGTTCTTAAATAATCAATCATTCTTTTTATTTTGTTTGATTTGATTGTGAAATTTTCAATGTGATTTAATTTCTGTGTATATATTTATTTTTATTCTTTCTTAAAAATTTTAATCAAAGTAACTTTTTTAAATATGATATTCAGGCCTAAATAGCAAAACTATTTTATATTTAGTTTTACAGTTTTATTTGTTTTGTCGGTGAAATAGAAAATATAAAATATCTTTCTTTTTATTTACATATATTTCGTGGTTTTAAGAGCAAGAAAATCTGAAAATATGTAATTATTTAATCAAAATGTATTTCATCAGATATTTATTTACATCAAAGGGGTATGAATTTTTCTGTGTTTTAAGATAAAATCTTTTCGTTTAATCAAATAAATTATTATTACTATTAATAAGTAATAATAAAATGAACATAACGATGGTTGATAAAGAGATTTTTACCTTGAAGAAATGCGTCAGTGTTTAGCCGATCATAAATTATTATTCTATACATTTGATAGTAGATTACTAATTTCTAAATAATTTATGAAATGGAGCAATTTTGAAAATAAGATGGATAGTTATTAAATAATATTAGCACAAGTAGTGCCTCTTTTATAAATTAATTTAGTTTATTTAACATTAAACTAATCATTTGCATATCTAATTAAGTGAAAAATTTGTATTTAAGTTAAATTTACCTCATTAGATTTTGTATTACATATTTTGATATTATAGCTCTTAAAACACATAAACAATTAATTAGATAAAAAGCAACAAAAAATAATCTCAAAAAATTACCAAAGAAATGAGCTAAATTAACTAAGATGAGTTGATTATTATGAAGAACGTTCTCTTTTTGGCTTAATCAAGCAAAAAAAGCTTATAAAGCTAAAGAAATTTACTAAATAAATGGTTTTAAGATTCTATTAAGAGCTATTTTATGGAATCACTTGCATCTTCCCTAATCGCTAATCACCTTAATTTATAATCTACTTAATCAGTTAAAGCATTTATCCACAAATAAATAGACTAAAATAAGCCTAAATATATGGGAATCATTGATTAATATTTTAATTATATCAAAAAATACAACTAATAATACTCTTTTACGACAAAGCTTCAACAAATTCTTTTGGAACCCATAGATATTACTAATTTGAGTGAAGGTCACTCTTAAAATTGTATGAAAAAAGCTAGAAAATAATTTGTATCTATTCTAATCTTAAAGTATTTTAATTTATATGGCCAACAAGAAATGTCATCTTTTTACGATCTTTGGAACATCTGTTTCCCTTAAGTTGTTTAAGAAAAAAAGAAACTTTCTAAATATGATAATTAGAGCAAAAGTAAAAGGTCATAAGCCAATCTTAAATAAAAGCTAGCTGAAAACGAGTCTTTAAAAACTTCTTTAAACCTTTTAAATTGCAGTAGCTCTGTTTCTCATACTAATAGATCAGAAATCACTAGTTTAAAAGTAATCGAAATCCCAAATATTCAGACAATTAGTAAATCAGACTCTTATTAAGAAAGCAAGTAAATACATTTCCAAAGTAACTATAAATATGAGACTAGTTCTTAAAAGTAAATAATTAATAACCATATCTTTGAAGAAGACAGCTATTAAGTAGAATATACTAAGTATTTTGAGCAAAACTGTAATTAATCTACCTTGTAGTATTATTAAGGCTATTTTAACAACTAAGTTAATAATTAGGCAAACCATTTCAATCATGAAGATTAAAAAGTATTCCAAAAAAACTAGTAATAATTTTTCAAAAACTAATAAGAATATTAATTTTATTAATAACATCAATTATATTAAAATGACTACTAATAAAGTTATTATCCTAATCATAATAATAACCACTAACATATTAACCAAATTAATCATAATTGATAAATTATTACCAAAAATCAAAAAATTAATCTATTTCTAATTCTTACTTACTTACTCTAAAAACAAAACTTAATATTTATTAAATATTATATAAAACATAAAATAATTTTGTGTTAAAAATTTTACTTTTATTTATATAACAATTTCAAAAAATTAATTAACTTTATTATTTAAACAATTAATTGATTTATTTACTAACGTTAAAAAATCATTTATAATAAAGCTTATATTTATATATAATATGTTTTGTAGTTGTAAATTATAATAACATTAATAATAGTAAATATTGTAAAATGGACATTTTAAAATTATTTGTTTTATTAGTTAAATATTAAAATTAATTTTCAACATAAATAAATAGAAGGTATTTTCTTTTAAATATTTGAAATTTATTAATAATAATATAAGGATAAATAGCAGATTTTTAATTTTGGGATTAAAGAAACCCAATCAGTCACAGTCAGATTAATTTATATACACTATTAAGCTAATAAAAAAAATACTAATAAAGCTAAAAGCAAATATAAATGATCAAAATAAATATTAAATAGATTAGTTTGTAAAAAGAAGAAACCAGCATTAAAAATATTAAAATAGAAAAGCACACTTTCATAGAGACCTCATCTAATTAGATGATACTAATATGCTGGAAATAAAATTATTTTTTAATTCTAAAAATATATGGTAATGGTTTTTTCTGTGTAATTTAGTGATTGCATAAAATAGCTTAATGACTTTTTAACTAAGTAGTTATTATGTTAATAATGGTAACTTAAATCGACAAATTTGAGTATAAATTTCTCCCTATTAATAAATATATAGATTTACTTTTGTTACTAAATAATTAGCCTGTATTTAGTTAGCAAATTGAGTCAAAAATGTTAAAAATGAGAGCGTACATTTATATTGATGAAAAGTTTTATTTGAATACAAAAACTAAAATAAATAATTGAGTCAAACATCATCTAAAAGGCAAAAAAACTAAAGATAAATACTATCTCAAAATTAATTTTAGTTTTATAGTTAAATACACTATTTTACATTTAATTACAAAAACTAATGCACTCTCTTTATTTAAATACTAAGATAATTGTTAATAATATTTCGAAGTTTAAAACTAATGGTTAAATACAAAAAAGAAATAATATTTTAAATTATTTTTAACATTAATAATATATTAATAACAATTATAGAATACTAGGTTCATATAAAAAGGAATGATGCAGTGACAAAAATGAATTTATAGCTAACAAATTATTTTTTATCATCTAATAATGATTAATTTTATAGATGTACAGAACTCATCATTTTAATAAACACCACAATAACTAGTAAGAAAATGATACAAATTAGTCATCAGTTTTACCAAATAATCAAAAGAAATGAGCAAAATAATCAATTATACTTCATAATTTTCTAACAGTAAAACTTCAAAGCAAGCAATGAAGCTAAAAGATTTATTATCAATAAAAAAAACAAAACTCTAAAAAGTAAAAATAGAAAAAATAAATATATGCTTTCTAAACTATTTACCTTATTTATTCTACATAGCGATCTAGCAAAGCTCTTAAATTTATCTAAATGACTCATCACTCATTTAGATAAAAATTTGGCTATGCTTATTATCTAAGAGAATTTTTATAAAGGAGGTAACAAGGTAATCTTTATTAATAAATGTTATGGTAATCAAACAGTTAGAAATCTAATATTTTAAATAGCTTATAAAGTTAACTAAAATGTTTAAATATGAATTATAATTGTTAAATAAATTCTTATATATTAATATGTTTTATTGAATTATCTTTTCAAATTTACAATTTTCTGTTTGTATTTAAAATTTAGTCTAAAACAATGATAATAACCTTAACATTTTTTAAAATTAACGAACCAAATATTTGATTTGTTTCTTGATTTATAGAATGATTTGAGTTTTTTTATTTTATGGATATATCTATAATATGAAAAGAAATTATAGATGGAATATGCAAAGTTGAAGATAAAATTGTAGCCTTAATAATAATATGAATACATTAAACAAAAGAAATAACATTTCTTTGGTGTAGAATTATAGTGAACATTATTGGTTTTGTTGAAAAAAAAGAAAACTTTTACCTTAAAATGAAAACAATTATGAAAAATATATTTAATTTAAAATTAGCTAACCAATTTCTTAATTAATTTCCTTACAATATTTAAACATTTTCAAGTAGACTATTAAAATAAATGTTTCTAAAAAAGAGTAAAAGAAAATAGATTTTACTTGAGTAAAATTGTAGTGAAAATTTGCTTACTTTAAATTTAAATACTTTAAGTTGACATTTAGATAGCTTTTACACTATAATTAAATAAAAATTCCTTAATTATTTAATCCTTATCAAAGAAGTAGCTAATGAATATTTAAATAATTAAATTTTATATAATATGAATCTTCATAGATCAATATTTCATTTAATTGTATAAATTGTTTTATAAAATATAGTATTGATAGTTTACATGAAAATCGTTTAATAAAATTTTTTTCATATTAATAATAGCATACATTATTTATTTATTTTAATTGTTTTAAGATTTACTAGATTTAAAATTTACTATTAATAATTTAATTTGAAATTTGTAATTATGATTTGAAATACTATATAATATTAGTTCTATTCCCTGATTTTTTATAGATTAAATGATACAAAATATTAAAACCTAATTTTGAGAAAAAACAAAGTATTACAATGAGATTACAATTTAGCAAATTAAATATTATAGTTTTTTAGTTTTAATGAAACTAATTATTTAAAATTGTTTTTTTTTAGTACAGTCAGTAGACTGATTTAATTTAGTAGTCTTTTTTAATAAAATAGCTTTTTTAAATACAAAAAATAAATATATGCAATTAAATTTTTTTATGGATATATTGTTTATTTAAGGAAAATCAATTAAATTTATCTCATACACGCTAAGGTTTTTTATTCATAATTTTTCTTTTGAAAATAAATTCAATATTTGTGGTAATATTTATTTTAATTTAAGTAAAATAAAAGTATGTAAATATCAATTCTTAATTAATACTTCTATAAATTTTGATTTATTAAAAAACTTAGAATTATTTTAGGTGAGATAAATATCAAATGTCCTCCTATTTAGGTAATAAGCTGATAAGATCAATAAATTGAATGAAGATATTTAATTAATTTAATGTATCATACAAATTTTAGATTTGAATGTTTCTAATGATTAATTTGATTGATAAAATAATACATTATCCTTAAGTGATTTATACTTAACTCTTTTATAAAGAAAAATAATAAATATTATGATATATGGCAGATAAAATATATTAACCTAAGTTAAAATTGATATCTTTATATATTATCAAATTTTTAAGATTTACCTAAATATATTTTAAATAATATTTACTTTAACCAAATTTGTCTTAAAATTTAATTTTAAGGGAAGAAATAACAGAAATATTTATTTGCCAATTTGATTAAAATCCAATTAAATAAAAATTTATTTGAAGTAATATTAAACAATATTATCTTTCCTTAATATAATAAACTATCTATCTAGCTTTTTTGATTATCATATATATTATATAAGACTGAAAACTTAAATGATTTTTCATCTTAACCTGTATTTTTTTCAATCAAGTTTTTTTAAAACTTAAGCGCAAATATTTTATAAAAAGTTATCACATCATTCGTTATTTTGATAAGCATGTATGGATTTTTATTAAATATTTATTTAGTCAAAATTAATCTAATTTTTCTTAAAATTAATTTTAAGGAAAGGAATAACGGAAATTCGTTAATTGTTTTTTTTAAATATTAGATTATGAGTTTGATGAAAATTTTGATTAAGATTTAATCAGATATAAATTAATTAATTGATTCTATCTAGTGGGTAATGATTTGATACATAATCTTAATTAAATTAAGCTTTTTGAGGTGTAAGTAAGTAATTGCATTCATTTTGTTTTTTTTATCAATAGATAGGATTTTTCTATTTTTAACTAACAATAATCTTTATGAAAATAAAATATATTCATTAATTTAGATTGTTATATCAAACAAAAACAAATTTAAATATTTTAGCTTTTTTAGATTTATCATCAGCATCTTTCTCGATGAAAAGAAGCTAAAAACCAATTCTTTTAAATATTCTTTTGATGGTTACTTTTATTAGTTTTTGCAGCGTTATTTCCAAACAAATGAAGAAGCAAATAAGAATCAATTATTATATTTGAAAATTGTAAGTAAAAAAAATATATCTACTAAAAATATTGATATAAAAATTAGTTAGAATTTAAAAAAATTATTCTGAGCTAGTTTTAAATGATGTCAATTGAATTTTAAGTATTCAAAATATTTTATTTTATTTTTGGTGAAATAGTTATATTTATTTTAAAAATTAGTTTTATAAAATTTAGTTGATATTTCATTAACATATTTTCTCCTTTTCATTTATGCAAGTTTACTTTGATTTAAAATTCTGATTAATACTAAATTAAAGATTTTGTAAATAGCTAAACATCATTTTGTGATCTGAATTGATTTTGATAATAATTTAATTTATTGATGATTACTGATCAATCTTGATTATATTAATTAAATAAATATTTATTTTATGATATTAACGAGGGTAAAAAAGAATAAATTAAATTGCGATCATTTAATCATTAATCAAAATGAATATATATTAACTATGCTTAACTTAGATTTATTATTAAGCCATATTATCTAATACTTTTTCTCATGTTAAAAAATTTCTACATTCATTAAACACAAACTTTTAAAAGTGATTTTTTAAATGTAATAAAAATCAAAAAATAAAAATTAGTTTACTAGGTAAATAAGGGTTTATATGTTAACAGTAATAAGCATAAACTGATGCAGATTATAAGTTAATAAATTAAGATTAAATTATTTCATTAATTCATTTACATTAAACTGATTATCCATTAGCAGTTTTTTTGAATTTCGAATTTTGTAAATAAAGAAAGAAATTTTTATATTTAAAGTTATTTTAATAAATCAAAATGTTTAATACGAAATTGATAGTTAATTTTACAAACAAATTATAATTAAGTTAGACTAATTTTATTTTAAGGTAAATATTTTTTTTTATTAAAGTAAATTAAGATTTTAATTAGAACTCTTTAACATAACGCCCTAGATTAATTATTCAAATACTTAATTGCATAAATGATAAAAAATATTTTTTTAATGAGCTTATTAGCTAGTATAAACCATAAAAATTATTTAATTGAATTCCTAAAAAGAATATTTATTAAATATTACTAAATTATTTTGTTAAATAATCATTTTAATATTCTTCTAGTTAAAATATTTTGTTTTTCTTTAAATAATTTATTCTTTTTAAATATTATTTATATTTATAGTCTTTATTTTTAAGATTAATTTTTATCTATTATTTATAAATTTGAGTCAAACCCTTCAAATAAATATAAATAATTAATTATGATTAAATTAAATAAAATCTGGTAGAAAAAATTAATAATAAAATGTTTTAACCAAAAGAGGACTAGTTGGTAATTATGAAAAATATACTCTATTTAGCTGAGAGAAACAAAAAATCCATTCAAAGTGAAAGAAATCTATTAAATAAATGGTTCTAAGATTCTATAAAAAGTTATATTTTGGAATCTATTGCTTATCCTCTAATATCTAAACATCTTAAAATATACTCTTCCGCAGGACTCAAAGCTTATATCCATAAGAAAACCGACAGTAAAAAACCTAAATATATGGGTATCATTGAATAATATTTTATCCAGATCAACAAATACAACTAAAGTGATATTTTTCTAAAAAAACTTAAATAAATATTGTTGAACCCTATTGATATTACTATATTAAGCGAAGAATAAAGCTACAATATTTTAAAAACAGTCAGAAAGCAATTTGTGTGTTTTCTAATCCTAAGATACTTTGAAGTATATGGTATACTAGAAATTCCCTCATTTTATGAATTGTGGAACATCTGTTTCCCTTAAGAAGTTCAAATTAAAAAGAAACTATCAAAATTTGACATGTATGCGAAAAATAAGTAGTAAATCTAAATAGATGATTAATTGGATTTAAATAATTCATTTTAAAATTCTTCTAGTTTTATAAATAGTAGCACTTATCTTAATTATGCCATCTATCCAGATATCTAAAATTAATAAGAATCGCATTCTAATTTTTCGTCTGAAAAAATAAATGATTTAGATTAATCAAATATATAATTATCTGAAGACAATTTGATGAGATATTAATAGGTTTTCTGCTCTTAGAAGTAGCTAATTAATAACCAAATATTTGATGAGGACAGCTACTAATAAGAATCCATGAGTGATTTTCTAAAATTTCATAATAATACTTATAATACATTATAAGAAGAGTAATGACTCTCTCACTAAAATAATAACAAAAAAAACTATTAAGAAATATAAAAAAATATGTATGAATGAATTCTTATGGAATTATGATTCAAAAGTTATTTGTCTCCTTAAAACAAAGATTCATATAAAAATTATTAAAAAATAAATCAAATCTAACAAAATAACTAAAATTAGTATCCCTATCAACTAAATATAAATTTTATTAAAATATTTTCTTTGATATTAATTCCAGCTTAATTTATTATTTTAAGAAAATGAAATACCTTCTTTATAGCAATAAATAACAAAATTAATTATTTAAATAACTTTTAATTGTATATCTCTACTCTTAAAAAAAATAGAATTTAAATATAATTTATCAAATTTAATATTACTTCTTTTAGGTGAATTATGGAAAATGTTTTATTTAGATATTGAGTTTTTTCCTCATACCTCGCATTCGTACATAACAAACCTCATTTTCTATAAAGTTTCGAGATTAGTCATAGCTTCAATTTATTAATTTTTTTACATATTTTTGGCATTTATTTTATATGTTTTTAAAAAAAAAAAAATAATTAATTCTAATAATTTTCAATTTAAATCTTTTAAATAATTAAGTATTAAAATAGAAAAAATATAAATTCTTTGTTATTATCAAAAATAAGATAGATAATAACCAAATTATAATTATGAATACCTTATTTTAATCTTAAGAGTTCTAAAACATAAAGAAAAGGAATATAGATAAATAAAAGGTTTATTTAAATAAAAATAAATTTATCTTTTTTAAGCTTTATTTTTTCTATAATTTTAGATATTAGATTAAAGAAATTTTTTTTTTTCAGATAATTTAAAAGAGGAAGGTTTTGATAATCAATAAAAAAATAATTAATTTTTTATCAGAAAAGTGTTTATTGAGTATCAAAAAATATGTAACCAAAAATTATTTGATTTTAAAGAAAAATAAAAAAAAGGTTTGATTAATTGAATTATGTAAAAATTAATTAATTTTGATTTTTAGCGTATTTTCAAAGGCGATTACAATCAAATCTTAATTTCTCACACTACTTTAATTGAAAGATTCACAATTATGTGAACATTCTTTAATTTTGAATTAGCTATTACTTCCTATAAAAAGTTAATAAATTTAAAGCTCAAAAAGATTCTTACAAATTTGGAAAAGAAATTAGAAAAATTTTATCTATTAAAATGGTTCATTCAATATACAATTAAGAAGGATAACGTTTATGTCTTTCTATTTTATTAGGAATATTAGATGAATTAAATATATTATCAGTATTTAAATAGAAATTTGTTACACTTTGTTAAAATCAAGAAACTTTTTATCAATTATCTCGAAATTTTTAGATTTCACCAATCAACACTTTTTAAATGTAATAACTGGTTTTTAGGTAAAGTAATGTGTAAAAAATAACTTTTAATTATTGATATATAAATATATAAAAACGTATGATAATAAAATATATATATTGAGTGGAGTTTTAATAATAAAAATAGTAATCTGTTAAAAAACTTAAAAAAAATGAATCAATGAAGAATTATGTAAATTTAAATGAAATTTTAAAATCAATAATGTGTTTTTATTGTCAAATTAAGATTCAAATATTGATTCTTTTTCCTGTTTTCTTAATTACCATAATCAATAATGATTTTTATAATAATACAAATTACCCACCTTATTTTAAACTTTGTAGCTATTCATTTATTTGCTAATGTATCATCATAGGTAAGTCTTTGAAACAATATTCTTTTATTGATGAAACAAAAATTAAAGCTTACTTATTACCTATTGTTTTTGCTCTTTATTTATATTCCATCAATAATTCACTTAATAATGAGGACTAAGTATCAAACTAAAACAAAAAATTTTACTTCGAAAATATGAAATCTTATATTAAAAGTATTTAGATAATTAATATGCAAAAGTAAGCTTTAAAAAATAAAAGTACTAAGGTATATTTTACTCAAAACTTATTAATTATATTTAAAAACTTTTGGAGTGGGTAATTTTTTTTAATTTTTTAGCACTTCTTTGTCATAATTTAAACATGAAGATTGTAATCAAATTTTAGATTTACCCTTATTTGTGGTTATTTATTAATAAAATAGATTGATTACGCTAGAAATAATTGAGATAATGTAATTGTATTGATTTTTATTAACTCTTTGATTTTATATAATCAGAAATCAATCTATGTAATTTATTTGAATGCCTAAAAAATTTTATTTTTGTGAATTTAATATTAGTTACTTCTTTAACAATATACAAATCCATTTCTTCTAATTTTTTTATTTTAAAGGGGGATACACACTTAATTACTTTAATATTTTTTATCTTATTTATCCTTAATTAAAGTAGGTAGATTTATTTCTATTGTAGCGAGAAAGATAAATACTTCATATTTTTAGAAGGAAAAGAAAATTATGATGCTTTTATAAAATAAAATAAGCTGATTTCGTTTAAATTATTAAATTAGATTTATGAGAAAAAATTCATGCACATAAGCAATCAAAATACATAAATAGCTTTTTAAATAGTGAGTAATTAATTTGATGTATATTAATTAAAACAGCAGAATTATGACGTAAATAAAAAAATGTGTATCATACAGTGTAAATAAGTAAACGTCTAAACTGGGAAATATATTTATATCAATCATTATTTGAATCCAATTATATTTTTTGGTTGATTAAAAAAATTTCATTACACATATATTAGAAATTGTCAGTTTTAAAATGTTTGGTATGTAAATTACATAACTTTAAATGAAGATAGAATTTAATTAAATGTTTGGATATTTAACTATTATCGAAAACTAAATAAAGTGTAAAATATTACTTTTATACAATTTGTAACCTATTAATCCTTAATTATTACAGCTTCATATTCTGAAGAAAAAAATGTAATCAATCACCAAAAAGTGATTTCTGCTCATTTTTTCTTTTAAATAATTTTTGATGTTCTACTTAATACTGAAAAAACAATCATTGTTATAGTAAACTTAATTATTAAATAATTAAAATAATACCATTAATCAATAATCAATTAATTTTGCTTAAAATAAAAGGCCATATTTAGTCACAGCTTATATTTGTAATTTGAAAAAATAAGTAGTAAATTAATTATTGTTAACTTTTTTCACATATTCTAAATTTTAGGAAAATTATTTTTTAAATAATTTGTCTTTAAATTGGCTTTTTAAATTAATTTAAAAAAATGAACTGTATATGCAATCAACAAGAGCTTAAATTTTTTATAAAATAATAAAACTTATATAAAAATAATATAACAATAATACAGTATCATACATCAAAAACTTTCAATAAATTTAAAAAATTGATAATTGAAATTAAAAAAAATTATTCTATTTTAATTTAATATTTAATATCTAAAAGTGAACATTTTAATCTCCTTAAAATTAAAATTTAAAATGTGTGGCAGTAATAATTCAAAATTATTCAACTTTTTAATTTATTTTTATTAATTAATTTATTATATTTTTAAAATTAAATTAATAAGTATATAATAAAAGTAAGAATTTATTATTATGACAAATATTCTCTTATTAGTTTATAAAAATAAAAGATTTAGAAGTTAACTAAATAAATATAAATAAATCATTTTAAGATTGGGATAAAAGCTATATTATAGAATCTATTGATTCTCCTTTAATTATTAAGTATCTTTATTTAACCACTTTAGTTTGAGTAAAAGCCTTTCTCATAAGCAAATAAGAAATAAATAAATCTAACTACTACATGATATTAATTAAATAATATCATACTCACATCAAAAATCGCAATTAAAAAAAATTTTTTATAGAAAAACAACTAAATATTTTTGAACCTTACCTCTTTTATTCAATTATTCAAGAGAACTAGTGATAAAATAAAAGTACATTGAATTTTTAAAAAATAACTTGTCTGCTATCTAAATTTGTGTTATTTTGAGCTATGTAATTAATTTAAAATTCCAACTCTTAATGAGCTGTGACAAAAATAATCAATAATACTCAATCAAATTAATGAAAAGTTCAATTTAATTAAATAAACTTATCAACCAAAATACTGTATTGTTAAATAAATTTATGGATAATCATTTCTTCAATTTTTATAAATAAACATATTTCATATGTATGTTTAGAGTTTTAGTAATGTCAAAAAATATTAAAAGCAATATGAATTAAGAGTTAAATATGATTTACTGAATTTGCAGTTTAATTATATTTATACCTTAAAGTAGAAAAATTGTTGATTAAATAGATAGCAAGTTTGTAACATTTAAGGATTTGATACATAAATAAATTGATTCTTTGCTAAATCCTACTAATGAATATTCTCAACTTATTATACTTTAGGTGATTCTTAACCTAAGGATGGTCATCCTTTTAATAGATTCTTAAATATCAATCAAATTCATTCATACTAGCATTTATCGCTCGATTTTAGGCCATGATTAACCATCTCCTTATCTTAAACTGTTTCCTTATTTTTTACCTATTTCGTTTTTATTTTCATGGAAATGGGAAATGGAATTAGAGAATAGTCTATCAAACCAAATTGTAGGGATAATCCAGGAAGAAAGGAAGAAGATCGAAACTATATACTTAATCTGCTTTTCTTTTAATGAAAAAGCAATTGTAGATGAAGTAATCATTTTATAAGCAAATGTACTTTTGATATAGGCAGAATAAGAACGTTAAGATCTGATACCAATTATTTACAGACTCTTAACAAGGATGATATTTAACATGGAAATGGAATTATCTTAAGTAACTATTACTTTTATGGAACAATATAGAGTTTACCTATCATCAACTAATTAATAAAGATGATGATAAACTACTATAGGATATCTATGAACTTAATTTGTTGCTAACTGCATCTATCTTAAGTAGCTCAGAGAATTTGAAACATAAATTTGTTTTTGCTAGTCTTGATTATTTTGAAAAAATGTTGGAGAAAGTTAAAAGCATGGGGATAAAATAACCAGGGTTATCAATATAATATGACATTTTTATCTGGAAGATGATGAATAAAGGTATCCCTTACCTACCTATGAATAAAGAAGCATTAAGAGCAATAGCTGATGGATTCAAGATGAAAATAACTTTTGATAGTAATCAATCAAAAATACGAAAAAATAATAAATATATGCTGTAAGGCTCAGTACCTAATGGGCTGAATAAATAGCATCAAATTTTTTCTCTAGAAATCAATTGCTAGAATAATAGTTAAATCAAAAAATGATTATCCAAAAAAATCAACCCCTTTAATTTATCAATGAAGCTATGATAATCTCAAAAATAGATTTCTTGTAAGAAATTAGTTTAAGCTAAACACATGGCTTCCCACACTATACATTAGAGTGATAGAGAACATCAAGAACTTTCCCAGATAGTATATCTATAATCTAAAAATCAATCAATCGTTCAAGTGAAAATATAAGAAATAAATCATTAGTATTTACTTATATGTGAAATGGAAGGAAGAACTAAATTGCAAAGCCAAATGTTATATTAGAAGATATAGGAACTGGAAGTACTGATATAATAAATCGGAGTTAGGTAATAGAAATTATTACATCAAGTAGAATTTACTAATATATGAATCAGAGTTATAATAAATTTCTACACTTCAAGTTATTAATAAAAGGAAAGATGTTGCAAGAATCCAAGCAAAGGCCCACAAAGACATCCTATAAACTTTAGAGCATTATATAAAAAAAATATCTTCTACCTTACGAGATATTTTATCTAAAATAAATACAGAAAACATAGGCCAAGAGTTTTAAGTTTACTAAGAGTTGGAAAAGACTATTCACCCTTAGAGAAAAACATAACAAAAATTGAGTTAGATAATAAATAATATTAGTAATTAATAAATAAATGAATAAGGAAGATCATCTAGAACTGATGAAAAAAGAAAGGAGTTATTATGATGCACTTCCTTTTCTATGATTAAAAACATGATTGAATCAATTGTGAATTAAATATAGGAACAATATAATGAGATAGCTACCAGACTTAAAAGTTCTCAATTGAACATGAATGATTAATTTTCATCAAAATTGAACTCAGATACTTTTTATACTTATATAAAAAATAGAGACTGTTCTTAATTCCATATCAAAAATATCGGTAGGAGAATTTGATTATTTAAGAATTTTAAAAGAAAATAATCAATCATATAAACAGGATAATAGAAAACACACAATATTAAAAAGATTTGAAAAACATTCCTACCTAATTTATCCATCAAATAAATGTTGGAATTGAAGAAGCATTAACCCTAATTAAAGATATTAAAGAAGGAAGAAATAGAATACTTGTCTGCACAGATAACTCATTGGAGAATATTTAGTAAATGGGAGAAATTTTAGATAATATAATGGAAAGAGCGTTCTAATCCGAATAATTTACTCAGTCTATAATGAAAATTGTGAGAGCAGCAAAAAGAACACATTATAAAATGTTAATTATTATTATATTTATAAGTTAATACTTGTTATGTATAGATGTATGAATGTAATAGCAAAATCAAGGAATTTTAAGTATGCTAAATAATTACAATCTATTTATTAAAAATGGAAATGGAGATAATTTTAATATCAATAGCTTGTAAAGAATATGGGTTTATGTTTAAAAAGATTAATAACAAGGATGTGATATATGATCTATTTGCTTGAATAATTGGAGTGATATACTTAAATAATTTTACTTAAAAATTAAAGTCTTGTCTTTGTTTCTTATAATATAAGCTATTATCTTTATTTAAAGTTAAATTATTCTATAACTAATAATTTTAAAATAAATAATATTATTTTCTATTATTCATAAATTTTTATATTTATTCATATTTTTTTACCATTTATTTATTAAAATTATAAACATATTTCAAATACAACTAATCTTTTTGATTTAAGTCACTTGTTTTGTTCTCTACTTTCAATTCTTCTGATTTATTGATACTTTTTTAACTTTTTATATAAATTAGTTTAAATTACTAAACAAAATTAACTAGAATAAAATGTTTAAATTTTAAATGAAATTTAAATCAATAAATAAAAATAATTTTAGCAGAATAAAAAGAAAAATAAATTATATTAAAAGTTAATAAAAAAAGTTTATTACAGCCTAAATAAATAAATAAATTATTTTAAGTAAATGTATTTTAAGAAAGCAAAAATATAATTTCTTTAACAGTACTTTGAGCAAATTCACAGTATCTTTCTTTTACTAAATCAAATCTTGTATTTTTTTTGTATAGTTGAATGAAATATCATATAAATCTATTTATGGAGAATATCCTTTCACATTATTATATAATAAACTAAAAATATAATATTTCTTTTCTTTTTAAAAGTGTTACTCTTAAAATTTATTAAATATTAAAGTCATCTTATAGCATTAGAACATCAAAAACTGTTTTATTATTTTTTTCTTTCAGATATATTTATTTTTAATCAACTTATTGGTTTTCTTTTGAATATTATAATTTTATTTAAGCAGTTCAAGATAATTAAAACTCCTTCACTATTTTGAATCTGCTTCTACATAGAATTTTTAAATTTTCATGAGTTAAAAAAAAATTATTTTATTTTATATTAAATTATTTGTTGATTTTTAATTTAATTTAATAGTAGTGTCTAATATATGTTAAGTAGTTACTATAAAAATAGATCGCAAAATATAATATTTAGAAATTAAATAAATAATAGTGGGTAATTTATTTTGATAATTTATAATTATTCTATATAAAACTAATTGTATTATATATAATATTATGATTTATTTATTTGAAATTAAAAAATATTAACCAGATTATCTAAACTTTTTATTAATTCTCCTTGATTAATGTTTTTCATATATCTTTCAGATGTGAATTTTGTAAATAATTTTACTATAACATCTTAGCATAATCATTAAATAAATGACTTTAAAATAAATTATTATTAAGAAATTAACAAAAAAAATGATATGTTGGGTTGAAATGAATATTAAATAGCTTTATTTGGATAATTTTTAGTACTAGTATTAATTAACTAATTGATTAAAATAAAGTTAACACTATTTAAATTAATAAACATATCTTTTATTGTAATAATATTCTAAAGTAAAGTAATGATTTTAATAATTGAATATTGAGAGTAATAAATCATTATATTTACAATAATATTAAAATCTTTATTTTTATTTATAAGCTATAATAAAAAAATTTAGAGAAAGAATTAGCTAAATTATTGATAATTTTAATAATTGATTGATAGATAGATTATATTGTGAAAAAATGTTTTTCTATATTTTAAATTAGTATTTAAAAATTTAATAGCATCTAATTATTATTCTTATATATCTTCTAATTTTAAATCTACTGCTAAAAAAAAAATTTTGTATTAACAAAATAATTAATTTATCGACTAGTAAAAGATTATCATTATTAAAATAGACATTCATATAATTAATTAGTAATACAAATGATTTATCGACTAATTTTATATTTTTTTATTAATAATAGACAAATTAATATTTTTAAAAATATTTTTAAATATCTTAAATAAGATTTGGAAATTAAACATCATGTTAATTAATTTATTTTAATTTTTACTTATAATTTTTAAGATTTACTATCTATAATTATTTTTTTATATAAACCAAATAGTTATTTTATCTATCAGTAAAATAAGGTTATCATTTAATAATAGATAAATGATTATATTTTATAAATATAATATTTTAAGGGGAAGTAATGATTATAATTATTCAACATTAAAAAAGAATTATCTTAATTCCTCATAATTCGTAATCCGCAAAAAAATAGTGAGGCTGTGGGTAAAAATGATAGAAAAATCATACATTTTAAAAAAATTAGCAATTAGTAAAGCAGTACCTATCGAGGATTTACGGTAATATTTTTATTACTAATATTTAATTTACCATTACAAAAAACTTTGTAGAACTAACAAAATAAATGATATTTTAGCTAGCTTTAAAAGACTATATAATTTTATAATAGATAAATGTATTATTAAAAAATATTTTTTCTTAATTTTAAATAAGGATTTAAAAAATTATAAATCATATGAATCAATTTCAATTAATTTTACATCTAATTTTAAAATCTATAAATAATAAATAATTTTTTTGAAAGTTACTGTTATAAGATTCTCATTTTTAAATATTGACATGTTAGTTTTTAGTAATACTTTTACGCAAATTAATAATTTAAGGAAAAATAATGTTTTAAGTAAAGTAATATTTTAAGGAGATTAATATTTTAAAGGAAAATAATGATTTTAATAATTAAGCATTTAAAGTAAATAAACTCACTTTTTTACCTTTAATTTTATTTAAAAAACCTTATTAACTAAACAATTACTGTATTTATCAACTCATCATTAATTCATACTATATTTAATAATAGACTAATTTCTGTATTAAATAATCATTTTTTAATAAAAAGTTAGAATTTAAATGCAAAAATCAAATAGAAAAATTTCATGCTTTTTAGTTAAATTTTTTTTTTACTGATAGAAAATTTTTTTAGTACTAACCAATCAAATCGACTAATATATAATACCCTGAGACACTGCCTTTTTCAAGGCTACATACAAAATTTGTATTGAATCGACATATTTTTAATTTCTTATCATTTTTACAAAAAAAAATTACTAAAATAATGATAATTTTAAAAGAAATATACTGTTTTAGGATAGAATATTTTCTTTAAAAAAGCCACTGTTGTCTTAAATTTGCTTTCTTTAATATATTTTACTTTTCAAATAGAAATATATTTTACAAATAATTTAAAATGTCTTATAAAAAAGAAATTTAGTTTTTAAATTTCCGGTTGTTAATCAAGCTTGATTTATTTATCTACTTAGATTATTAATTTAAATTTTATTAATTTTTCTATTGAAGTTGACACAAAATATAAAAGAAATATAAACCAAAAAATGTGATCTATTATTAATATAGATAAAAGATTAGATTATTAGAAATCTTACTGTGTTTATAGTTATTATTTTTAAGAAAAATCATATCTAATAACAAAAATTTTCTTAACGTTATTACTTGACATCTTTGGAGTGAGTTAAAAATATAATAGTGTTTTATAAATTTTTCTAAACGAATACTTTTAAGTATTAAGAAGTATACTTTCTTTAAAATAAAATAATGTAAGTTTTCTATTTTCTAAAAAATAGAAGAGTAAATTTTGTCAATTTAAACAAATTATTTAAATATTTTTAATTAACACTTAATGATCATTTTATTTATTGAATAATTCGATAATATCTAAATTATACTATTTTATATTGTTTTATACCATTAAATTACAATTTGGCAAAAATTATTTGAATATTTTAATTTACACTTAATGATCTTTTTATTTATTGAATAATTCGATAATATCTAAATTATACTAAATTCCTTTTTTGTAATGTTTTATACCTTTAAATTACCATTTGTTAATTATGAAATTTACATTAAATGGTATGAAAAATTATTTTAATCAAGAATTTTTAATATTGACTTGATTTGATTTGAAATCATTTTTCGATTTAGCTTTGCTAAAAAATGGTCTTCGTAAAAAAAGAGATCCAATAAAATTTAGAAACATCAATTATTTATTAATCCCTCCTCCCTGTACATAAAACAAAGTTTGTTAATTAAAAAAGCAAAATTGATATTACATCATAATCCTAATTATTTAGGATATTATTACTTTTTTTAAATTTCTTAGAGATTTTTAGTAAGTAAACCTGGTAAATAATAATTGCAAGTGAAATTTTTAATTAAAGAGATAGCGTAAATTGATTTATTTTTAGGATGTGTTTTTTCCATAGCTTCCTTCAAATTAAATAATGACTATGAAAGCGTAATGCAAATTAAAATAGATAAAGCTAAAAAAATTAAGAAATTATTACAATTTAAACAATTTATCTATCTAATTACACTAAATTTTTAAAATATTTTTTATTCTTTCTTATTTAATGCTTGAATTAGTGAATCCTCCTTAACTTTAAATGTTTGATTTTTTATAACAGTGAACTGAAATATTTTCTATTAAAAGCCAAAACATTTTTTATGATTTAATAAATCATCAGCATAATATTTCATAAAAATTGGTAATAATAGAAATAAATTATCAGATTATGAATTATGAATTCGCTTTAAAATAATTACTAGTAAGATAATCGTATAAATATTTATAAAGAAGATTTATTATAAACAAGAAGTGGAATTTAGAAAGCAATAAATGAGCTAACATTAATTAATCCAGTTTAGATAAAATAATATGAATACTGAATGTTCCATACCATACAGTTGATATCTATTTTAATAATTTTTATTTCTTAGTTTCTCTACTGAAATATTATTTAAGTTATAAATAAAATTTACCCATCAAATTTTCAAATTAATAGTTATCGCTGCTTCCTAAATGATAAATTTACTTGAAATAGTTAAGCTAAATCTTACTCTTACTTTTTCGAGAAGAGGAATTTACTACAAGGTGTTGCAGTAAAATATTAATATATCTACTGTATACACTATAGTTTCAGATATTTGGGGAATTTCTGGATTATTTTTAAGAAAATTTTTATATGCAAAAAATATAATTTATAACTAAAATAATAGAAATATAAACGCAAAATAAAATAATTTATGTTATAATCTTAATATTCTCTTATTATAAATCTGTCTTAGATAATAAATTAAGGCTTACTAAATTCTTAAGAGATATTTTTTTTAATTTGTAATTTAGGTGAGATTAAGAGGTTAGGTAATATCAATTACTTTCAATTCTTAACTGTAAATTCGATTAGAAATAATCAAATATTGCTTAATTTTAAAAGCTCACTAATTAAAAATTATGTGTTTTTATTAAGTTATCTTTTTTAATGGCAACAATCCCATAAAATTATCTATATTATCACAAAAATTTAAAATTAATAATTAATTAATGGCTTTTTTGTTATCTAAATAAACATTATTATCACTTTAGAATTTTATTTAGTTTTTTATAATAATTTATGCATATTAAATAGATTATGTTTTTTGGATTGAAAAATCTAATAGAGATTTATTATTTATATTCAAGATATTTTGTTAAAATAATTTAAATAGAATTTACATTAGTCAACTTTGCATTAAAATTATATTTTAATCATAAAAGTAAAAGAAATTTCTATTTAATTTTTTAAATTGTTCATCAAAAAGTATAGAAATAAACTTAGTGGTGATTAGGATTTAATAGAAAGATACTTAAAATGAATGTGTTGGGGGCTAATTAATAAAAAAATAGATAAATTCTTTATTTAAGTAATAGCTAGTATGTTTTTCAATTTTATAAATTAAATAGATTATTTTTAGATTTTAATTATTTAGTTACAACTTTATTATCTTAATTAGAAAGACTCTTTCTTTTTCATTATTGCAGTATTTAAAATATATTCATCTATATTTCTTAAAAAATTAAAAAAAATAATTTTATGATTTTAATTTAAGCATAGAATTATCTTTTACACCAATCTACTATTTAACTGAATGATATATAATAAGAAAATATTTTCAAAATTATTTATTTTTAAATCTACTGTTACTCAATGCGTTGTAGCTTTTACCAAAAAAAGGTGTAGAAAATTTAGATTAATTTTTTAAATAGTTAATCGAAAACTGTAAATACATAATTTCTCTTTCAAAGCACATAATAAAAAGATAGTTAAAATATTTTTTTAATGTAATTAATTAATATGTAAGGAACATTAAGAGATTATGAATATGAATATAATTTAATATGCATGTGTTATAAATTTAATTTTTGATTATGTTTTTAGCTAGAATAAAAAGTAATATTATTTTCTGATGAATGCGAAATATAAATTTAATTACAAAAAATTTTGTGGAGATTTTGTATGACTTTGGTCAAATTTTGAATAATTTAAATGTCTTAATCAATCAAAATAATAAATTCAATATATAGTCAGAGTTGGCTTAAAGAAATAAATTAGTATTACCCATCATTAATTAATAAAATGATTGAATTTGGTTTTATGGATTGTTTAGGTTTAGTTTGAAAAATTTTTGACTAAATTAAATACATGTTAAGCTAGCTAATAAAACTTATTAAAGCAAATAAATTGAATACCATTAAATCTCTGTCAGAAAATGTACTTCTTATTTAAATTATTTACCTAGCCATAAATGAAATTTTAGCGCCTTTTCATAAACATATATTATTCTTCGTAACTTTATATTGCTCTTAATTTATTTAAATAGTTATGCTTGATTATTTTATTTAAATTAGATTATCTTAATTCATGATCTTTACTTAATTAAGTAATTATTGAGATATAATTAGTTATTTCTAATTGTAACATGAAAGATTAGATAATTAATTAACAAATAAATTTAGAATTAATATCTAACATAAGCTGTGGGTAAATTGGCGTAATTTTATTTGTTATTATAATCTAATAATGGCTTTGATTTTAATTATTATATGGTAAATTGCGAATAACTCACCATGCTTTAATAGTACGTATATTAATCTTAAATTTCATGAGTTAATTAAGCAATTTTGACATCATCAAATCCTAAAATAAAACTTTAAATACAAAATAGCATGAGATAGACAATTAATTTAAAGGATATGATTATATATCATCATGCAATAAGTTTATAGTTTTTTAACCATATATTTTCACTTTAAATAAAAAAACAGAATAGAATGCTTGTAAAAAGATTACTTTAGAGTAAATTATCTAGCTTTCATCTAAAAAATAAGTATAAATATTGATAGATCTTTCAATCAAATGATTATCAAAATAATCTAATAAAAAAAGTAACTAATATCATATCTTAATTAATTTTTTTCTGGCTTGATTAGAATAGCTATTACATGAAAAGAAAAGTATTAATTAATTTTTAAATGTGTTAAAGTTTGATTCAAATTATGGATTAAACTTTCCAAAAAAATTATAAAGAATTTTTTGGCAAATAAAAGCAAACAAATCAAATCAACTCAAAAATTACTAAAAAATGAAATAATTAAATAATGAAGAGTTAATCATTAAGAAAAATATACTCCACTTAGCAGACTTTCATAAAAAATCTTAAAAAGGTGAAAGAAATCTACTAAATAAATGGTTCTAAGATTCTATTAAGACTTATATTTTTGAATAGATTGCATCTCCTTTAATTGCTAAATACCTTAATTTAAGCTCTTCCGCTTAAGTTAAAGCCTTCATTCACTAGTAAACAGAGCCAAATAAACCTAAGTATATGGGAATTATTGAGTAATATTTTATCTAAATTATCAAATATAACCAAAAAGACCTTTTTCTGTAAAAACTATATGAAATTCTTTTGAATCCTGTTGATATTACTCAACAAAAAGAAAAGTAAAATTATAACACTGAGAAGATTGTTAGAAAATAATTTGTGTGTTTTCTAATCTTAAGATACTTTGAGCTATTTGGGTAATAAGACATTCCCTCATTTTATGAACTATGGAATATCTGCTTCCCGCTAGAAATTTAAACTAAAAAAAAACTCTCGAAATTTGACAAAAAGGTTGAAAATAAAACTTTGAAATTCTAGATTAGCAATGAAGGTAATCTAAACACTAGTTTAAAAAGCTCATGTGACAAAAAGGTTGAAAATAAAACTTTGAAATTCGAGATTAGCAATGAAGGTAATCTAAACACTAGTTTAAAAAGCTCTTCTTGTTTTTTAAATAGTAGTGTCTTCCACTCTTCTCTATATTTTAATCCCTATTCAAATATTTAAAAGTAATAAGAAGAGCCTTCTGTTTTTATTTCTTCGAAAATAGATGGCTTTTCTTAATCAAACAATATCTAATAGTCTGAAAACTTATTAATGAGCTACTAAGATGATCTTTATCCTTAAAATTAGCCAATTAATAATAATATATATGAAGAAGATTAATACGAAGAGGAGTCCATGAACCATTTTCTCTAATTTTATTATAATTAATAAGCAACTTATCAGAATTAAAATCAGATACCTGACTAGAATATATACAGCAATAACCATTTAGAGCATTATGAAATTAATTATGAATGAATATTTATCCACATGATTTGATTCGCTACTATATTAATCATTCATCATTATAATATAAATATAATTTATCTACCTACCTACTAAAAATGAAAGGGTTATAATGTAACCTCTACAAGAAAAAATATATAATTAACAAATATTTTAGAATATATATTTATATATATATATATATATATATATTATCATAATATATATTCATACTTAATTCAAATATGATTAAATACTTATTAATATATGTAGAATTAACGTTGCAGATTTCGCAGATTTTTTAAGAAAAAGAGAAGAATTTTTAAAGTTATATAATTTATTTTTTGGATTCATTAGATTTTCACTACTTTAAATAGAATTAAAATTACTTGTATATAATATTTTATATTTATAATAATGCTAATAATTTTATTTTTTAATTTTTTAAGTTAATAATTTAATAAGTTTTACAAATTAAATATATTTATGAAATATCTACTAAAAATAATATTAGAATATCTTTCATAAAAAATTGAATAAATTATTAAAAAATATTAAGTATCAAGCAATTACTTTGAGATAAATAAATATGTCAATAATAGGTTTTAATCATCCATATAAATCAAATAAAGTAAAGAAACTATTAGAAAGCGCAACCTTATAGCTTTAAGGAAATTAAAAATACTTGAAAGAAAGTAAGGGCATTTGAAACATTAATAGTTTTTGATTGAAAAAATTTAAATAGTTTATGAGCTAATTAATTGAGATATGATGGTGCGACTTAAAATAATAGAAGATTTATGAATAAAGCAGAGTTTAGGGAAGCAATTTTGTCATAACTATGAATTTGTCAATGAGCATTGTCTTCATTTTATATTTATAAATATATAAACCCTGAATTTTAGTGTATTTCTCTTAAATAAAGTTGATTGAGCATTTATTATTTATAATTATCATCTATTTTATATTCTAAATATGCAATGGATTATTTTTAAAAAATTAAAAAATATATGATAGAAAATTTGAAAATAACAGCATTAATGTTGAATCATTTATACATTTATACGATTTTTCAAAATTTAGATGAAATATATAAATATAATGCCCAGAAAATTTGAATATTTTTGCGAGAAAATATACTGTCCCTTTTAATAATTTAAAGAAAGTTAAACCTTTTATATAAAAAATCAAGATTGTTATCTTCTCTACTTTTTAAGTATGTAATATTGAAATTTTATAATGATAATTAAGATTGATTATATATTATCTCTTTGATTTTTATTAGCTTAACTTTGATCTTATCAATATATGAGTGCTCTTATGAATTTAATTATAACAAAACTATATCCTTTGCTTCTTAGCTTGTTACAATTAATCTAATTATTTGATCTTATTGTCTTTTTAAAAATCTTAAAATGGTATTTAATTTTTTTTAAATTATTAATTTTTAACCTTGTAAAAAATAAAATAGATTTTAGTTTTATCATAATCAAAATAATTATTTTGTTTATTAAATTATTGCGTATACCTATAATATTTTAAATATGAATGAATATTATTCTAAATTAAAAATCAAATATGTTTAATATCATAATTTAATCTATTATTCGATTGTAAATCTAAATCAAATCAATTATTAAATGTAATCATCCTCATAATCAATTATGTAAATTTAATAATTTTTTGATACAAATTTTTATACTGTAAATTAAATATTTTTTAGAAATAACTTTTTATAGTGTAAATTTGTAAAATTGTGCTAAAAAAATCAAACTTATTTTTAGGGGTAAGATTAAAATAGAAAGAAAGTAAATTATTCAAAGATTTTCTATAAATAAATATATAAGCTTAAGCTCTAATTGAAAAAATAAACAAACCATAATTAATAAAAAGGAGAGAAAGTATATTAATACATTTTTTTAAATAATAGTTCTTATTAAATTAATTGCTTGAGAATATTAATTAACTGTATATTTAATTATTTATTTATTTATCTTTTGAAAAGATAATCATCATTTTACTTTTAAAAATGACTATAATAACTTTAAATTAAAATCATTGTATGTTGTTGCTATAAAAAGTGGTTTTAATTGAAAAAAAAATATGAAATTGATAAAATTTGTTTTTTATTTTGTTAATAAAAAGCTCTTTCATCTCTTGTTAATTATGTTATCCACTAAATAGAATAAATATATTTTATTTAAAAATATTTTTAAAATTAACTCTGCATTTCTAACTGAAAAGCATAGTATCAGAAAATGGTTTACTGATCTTACCTAATCTCTACTTACACTTTCACATTAATTAATAATAACTTAGAGAGAAAATAATATACCTTATAAAGCGGTTTTTGAGTTCTATAAGTAAAGAAATAGATTTCGAAAGCTATTGAATATTTTATTTTTAATTATAATTTTGTTCTTCAATTCATCAGAAATTCAGACATCTTTTAATATTTCATCGAAGAATTTAGATAATTATACATATCTAAAGCCAAATAATTAACATTATAAAGAAGCATTAAACAATAATGTTAGCTCTATCTAATTTATAAAATGAACTTGAATGGTAAAAAAGGTATATATTATTAGAAAACAACTAAAAAAATACTCTTTTAATACTTCTATGAGCTACTAGAGGTAAATACTATTCATTCCTATCTAAAGAGCATTTGCAAAGACTAAAAAATGCAAGTATACGCACCTCTAAACTAAAATGTGAATTTAAGACTAAAAAAAATTAATTTGCATAAAATATCTTTAATTATTTTGTTCTTACTTTTCTTCAATAAAATATATAGCCAATATCTTGTCTTTATTTACCTATGATTTATTGAGCTGACTTTTATATAGAAGCTTACCATTTTTATTGCAGAGCTTTAAAATATTATTGGTGTATCATAATTTTGAGTCAAGCTTTAAAAAAATAGAAAAGCAGAGTAATAGTTGTTTTTTTTGTTTTAATTATTAATCAAATTGAATTAATTAATAGTATTTTTCTGCTTAAAGGTAAATACTTTCAAATATCTAAATTAAATTTAAAATAATTTAAAGATCTATTACTGAAGCAAATTAAAAAGCTAACATTTTGCTTATCTAAATTGATTACAAATTGTTAATTATTCATCTGCCCAGAATAATAAGATTCTATTATGTTTGATTAATTTTATGCAAGGTAAATAGAAATTTAATAGAAAAATTAGAACACTAGCTTATTTTGTTTACAGTAAATTAAATAAACTAAGATAATTATCTGTCTCTGTTTAAGATTAAAAATGAAATTTTCAGTTTTTATTTGAAAAAATTATCATTACATCTCAAAAGCTCCTCTTCTAATAAAAGACAATTAGGTAAAAAAGCTACACCCATTCTTTTTATTAATTATTTGAATAATAAAAAATAAATCACAAATAAATTGATTCATGAAATGATAATTAAGAAATTGATAAAAATAATAGGAAATTAAAGAAAGAAATTGATTAATCTTACTAAAAGATTAATGTTAAGATACTTACTTAAAAATAATGTATTAATATTAAAATCATTAAAGCAATTCCATGTAATTAATTAAGGTAAGCTATTATTCATATATAATACGCAGTGAATCCAATATAAATAAAATAGCATATTTTTTAAGAAAATATATTTTCATTTTAAAAAATAACTCAAGAATTAATATGACCTCCACTACTTTTGTATGAAATATTTATTCGTTGAATTGAAAAAAAATGAAACTAATATACTACACATCTTATTATTATTAACTCATAATTTTTGGCAAGGTTACTTTGCTTTACCTATCTATTTTAATAGTTGATATTTTTCTTTCTAAAATATTAATAGATGTAATTTAATATACTCTTTGTTTAATTAACATGAAATTCTGTAAGTTAATTATTTTTGAATTACCTCAATAATAGATAAAAATTACTAGCAGCTATTAGATTTTGCTATTTTAATCTTTCATATATTAATAATAGCCAAAATTATTTCACTATCAATCATCCTTAAGATAATAAATATTTTAAATAAATCAAATTTTTGTCAAATCTAACTTTTTTATAAATAAAAATTAACGCTATTAATACTATTCTTTCTTAGACTTGATAGCAAAAAATAAAAAAACACTTTATTTATTTTTTAATTTGTATATATTTAATTGATAAATCTATTTATTTATTTGTTGCTTTTGAAATTTCTATCAAATTTGTTTACTCTTACTTAGTAATATTAATGTGAGTGGGTAGGGTGGGTAAATAAATATGTTTTCTCATAATTCTTGAATTAGGTTGTGGTTCCTCAAATTTTTAAATTAAGTAGGAAATTTTTTAGTTCAGATTTTTTATATTTTAAGGTTATTTATTTTTAGATATATATAACAGTGAGTATACTTATATATTATCTTCTTTAGGATTTATTACCTACAATTATTTCCATTAAATTGATTAAAAAAACCATACATTTTGCAAGTCTTTAATTACCTAATTTTCTATTCGAAATATATCAAATTAATAATGTGTAATCATCTTTATGTAAATTTGTAGACTGGCGTAATATTAAAATATATTAAGAGTGAAGAGCGTTTCGCAGCCCATTTATAACATTTCATCAAAATTAAAGGAAATAAATTATATTACTTTTTTATTAATAGTAATTTTTTGAAATCTGCGAATAATTTTTTATATGTGAGTGTCAGTTAAATTTATTTTATATTTTTAAATAGAATTTTTAAAATTTAAAGTATTTTATTTTTATATGAATTTCTAATAAAAAATTTGAAAATAATATCAATTTTTAACTTTAATAATGGATTTAAAATATAACAGTAGGAAGATGTAATAGCCTTAAAAAATAGTGAGAGAAAAAATATCTTAGTTACTATTTAATAACCCTTTTTACTTAGTAATCTTACATTTGATAAAATAGCATACTAAAGTAATCTATCAGCAAGTAAAAATATTATTTACATAGATTAAGTTTAAAATTGATAATATGCATGTGTTAACTTACAACTTTTTTAGCAATCTAAATATTTAAATAAAATTTAATTAAAAAGTAGTTTTTCCATTTTTTGTAATTTAATTATGATATATCTAATAAAAAACTGTCATGAATATTAAAAATACATTACTATTCTTCATAAAATCTAAACCATATATCAAGTTTTTTTTTTGTTCTTTTATTATTGCTTTCATAATAAATAATACATTATATGCATGCTTACAATTTACTTATTATTCCTTTAATTTTATATTTATTGTAATGATAAGTAAGTTTGTTTATTACTTATGTAATATACAGTTCAAATTATAAATATTAATAGTTAGTTAATTGATCGATTTAGATTTCCTGATAAATTCTTGTTTAAATTTACTTTACAATTTTATTAACTAAATTTGCTGTGAAATTTATCAGTTCTGAATCTGCATTATTTTTATCAATAATAAGAATTTTTTATGAGTTATATTTTAATTAGATGTTTGTTTATAAATTTGATAGTGAATAAAAACAAGACAACCTAAATTAAAAATTCAAATAGCCAATTATTCAATTAAGTATTTTCAGAATGAATAAAACAAAGAAATAGCCACTTTTTACTCAAGAATAAAAAGTTGTTATATTTTTATTAATTTTTAAGTAGAATTTTTATATGTTATCCTTGAGATTTGTTGTCATTAATACTCTCTCTTTCTTTATATGTGGTTGAATTACTATGGTTAAGTAACAAATAGAAATCTTAATGTAACTAAATTCTGATCACCGTATTATCTATTACTACTTTTTCTATTAAATTAAACATCTTGCTAACTCAAAGTAATTATTTCATTTAACGATAGCTATAAGATTCTAAAAAATTAAAAGTAAACCTCTGGTCAGATATATTTAATCAGTTTAATTGCCAAGTTAATTTATTGGAGGGTAGGGAAATAAGTCTATTTTAAAACCCGTATTTTTTTAATTAAATAACTTTGACCTTTTTTTTAGTTTATTTATAATAATAATATTAATATAAAAAGATACGAGTTTTACCATAGGTAACAACTTGAGTTTTTAGTCAATAATCACTTAAATTAATTATTATTTGTTATTTAGTTATTTTGATATTATCCTGTTCTCACAGTTTATGTAAACAAACCAAAAGTTTTTAAAACATCGACAATACATTTTGCAGCAAAATAAATAATCCTTTTGATTCCTATTAAATTATATTAGTTTACTTTACATTAAATTTCATCACTTCATTATTAATTAAATGCGAAAAGTTCTATTTAAGTTATTTAAATTTTCTAAGCAAATTCCTTTACATATTTTGATATATTGAAGAACTGCACTTATTAAATATAAACAATTAATTTAATAAAAAACAATACAAAAACAAATTCAAGAACTTCTAAAAAAATGGACTAAAATAACTAAAATTAGTTGATTATTAAAAACAACATTCTCTATTTGGCTAAACAAAGTGGTTAAGCCATTCCTAGCCAAAGAAATTTACTAAATAAATGGTTCTAAGATTCTATAAAGACCTATATATTTGAGTCTTATGCATCTCCTCTGATCGCAGATTACCTAAAATTAAAAACCTCCACAGAAGTCAAAGCCTTTATCCACAAAAAAACAGACAAGAATAAACCAAAATACATGGGAATCATTGAATAATATTTTATTTATCTCAAATAATGCAATAAATAAGATGCCTTTATAAACAAACTTCAATAAATACTTTTGAATCCTGAAGACATTACTTCAATGAAAAATCAACTCTCTTACAATACAATGAAAACTGTTAGAAAATAGTTCGTGTGTTTACTAATCCTAAAATACTTTGAATTATTTGGCCAATAAGAAATGTCCTCCTTTTATGATTTGTGGAACATATGCTTCCCCTAAGAACTTCAAGTCAAAAAAAAACTCTCTAGGTTTGATAAAAAGAGCGATAATAAAGACTTAAAAAGCATTCATCTTAAATAAGATTTTGATTAAGACAAATCTTTACACAATTTACACACTCCTATTAACTTCTTAAATCGCAGCACTTTTTTTTCCTCTAAAAATTAATCAGAAATATCTAACTAAGAAATTTTCACAATCTCAACTATTTTAGGGATAAAAAATTAATATCAAGTAAAATAAGATCAAAGCTTTTAAATTAGCAATAACTTTAATTTTAACTCTGAGAAAAAACCAATAAATAATAGAATATTTGAAGAAGAAAGTTATGAAGAAGAATCTATGAACCATTATCTGCAATTTAATAACTTTTCAAATTCGTTCTAAAATGAATAATAACAATCTATTTAAATTAATTGTGATGAAGACTATTTCGAAAAGTATTAAAATTAATAAGAATTTTTCAATGTCTCATAAGATTAATAGTGCTTTTAATAATAAGGATATTATGAAGATTAACTTTGTGAAATTAGCTATCCTTAAAATTTTCATTTTTAGTAATAAAATAATAACTAAAACATGAACTAAATTAATCAAAATTGATAAATTAATGCTAATACCATTAACCTTCATATTATCAAATTATTCTTTTATAACACTATCTCTAAAATAAAAAAATTAAAATAAATAGAAACATAACTAAGTTCTTATTCACTATAAAAAATAAATATATTATTTATTAACTATATAATCTATTATAGTTAATTTCACTCTATTTATATGTCATATAACAAATAAAATTTAATTAATTTTGATAAATTTAATATTAAATCGTTTATCAATAAAATAGTTTTATAAAATAATATTTAAAATATTTAATATCTATTTTCATTTTACAATTTTTATTTAATTGATGGATGTGAGTAAATACTGCAAAATCACTTAATCTGGAGACTCAAAGTATGAAACAAAAGAATGCTTAGAATTTTCATTTATAATCTAAATACTAATTAAAAAATCTTAGGATATTTGAAGCTTATTTAAGGATATAAGGTATTTTTACATTCTTGCGTTATTCTATTAATTTACCCATAATTTGTTAAAATTAAAGATAGATATTGATCTGGTCATTTAAATGATCATAAAATAAGAAAAATTAATACTATAAATATGTTACCATTAAAATAATACAAAGTTGTTATTTAATTTATTATTTTAAATGAGTTATTATTTATTTCTCTGGTCTACTTTATTTTTTTAATAATGTTTTTTTTTATCTTTCTATTTTACATAGATGGCATAAATAGATTTCAGAGTTTTATAAACAAGTGAAACAAATTAAATTTCAAAGAAAGCCTTCTTAAATGAAGTAAAAATTCAAAGCTAATTTTGATTTTTTAGATTTAAGAATCAATTTACATATACTTTGATAATTTAATTGCCAAATAGAGTTAATAATAAGTAGAAATAAGTTGGATCATTATAAAAGGATATCAGCTTTAACAAAAAAAATAAAATAACAGCAAGACATTTATTAAAGGGAGAGAAATCGATCAGAGTTTACAAGATGAAATCACTTACTTAAGAGTCATATCATCTTTAATAATGATGTAAAATTTATGGTTTGAATCATTTTTATTGAGATAGTTAATAAAATCAAAATGAGCGATGATTGCTTTATATAAGAAGTTATAGCATTAATAATGGTAAATTAATTATATAAACTCTTCTTTCTAAAGAATCAATCAAATAAAAATTTAGTTAGCTAGCATAAAAGGAGAATAATTTTTAAAGGATATAGATTGATTGATTCATTGATTAGGTTCAAATAATAATTTGACTTTGAATTAAGCAATCTAAATAAAGTTTTCATCAACGAAAATTGAAAGATTGAAAAGAGCAAAGAAGAAAAACAATATCTTAAAATGGTTAAATAAAAATACAACTAATTTAGATATTAGAAGAAAATGTTTATCGTTTTTATTTTCATAAGTGATTATATGTTTATAATTATTTGCAATCTTGAAAAAATTATTCAATATGTTAACATAAAGCTAATTTAAATTATTTGTTTATAATATATGTCTTAATATTAAAATTGGAAACTATGAGTACTAATTTTTCACTATTGTAAATAAATGAACTAGCTAAATGCGAAGCTTTGTGGCATTGCTAGTAAGTAAAATGTATTTTAAACTTTCTAATGTAGAAAATTGAGGTATTAATGAACACTAATACCTTTAATTAATTATTGAAAATTAAATAAATATCTAAAATGTCATATTGATTATATTGATTGGATTAAAAACAAAGAAATATGCCTTTTATACTTATTAATTTTCTCAAAAAAGGTAAAAGAATAATCGAAGCAATCTATATGATTTCATTTTTTTCTTTAACTCAAAGCTCTAAATACTTAAACAAACACATTTGTTAATTCATGTATAATACTATCTTATCTTACCTAAATAGAGAATAGAAAAAATATTAATTAGTGTAAAATTAAATATGTTCTATGATGAAAATGTTTTCGTAACTAACCAAATAAATTTCCTATAAAGGTTTTTTATTATTATATATCTCTAATATAAAAAGAAAATTTGATCATGAAAAATTAAGGTAATATGCTATTCTAAATACTAAAAGATTCGAAATAAATAGTATGTTAGTATGTGTCATTAATTTATTAAAAAATAATTGTTAATATTAGTTTCTTATGTTAATAAATGTAAATTCATACTTCTCTTTTAAGAAGCATATCTTCTTCATATTTTTTGTCTACTCTAAAGAAGATAATTTAATTTTTTAAATTTAACTAACCAATTTCTTAACTTATAGAATGAGTTTGGTATGTATTTTTATTATAATTTGTTTTTCTAGACTAAGGTTACAATGATTGAAAATGATTAAATTTATTCAAGATTAGAATATGGAATTGATTCAATTAGATAATAAATATTAAAGTAATTAAAATAAAATATTTTCGAAAATAAATACAGTTTTCTTGTAAAAATAATGATATTTATCTTAAAATAAAATTTTCTAATGAAGAATATTATTTAATTTAAAAACCAACTTACAAAGCTCTTTATTAAACTTACTTAGATTTCTTACAATTTTATAAAAATATAGCTTTAATTTTTAAATAGATTATTTTTACAAAGCAAAAAAAAAAATAATTTTTATTAGATCTGGACTTTTAGTGAATAAATTGGTATTTTTGAAATATAATTACTTAGAAATATTTTATTTCATTTTTAAATAAGCATATTGAGCTTTTCTATTAAAGTACTAACCAATTATTAATTTATCGACTAAGAGATTATCAAATAGATATTTGTTTTTAATTGAATTAATACAAAATGAATTTAATGCAAATCCTCATAAATTATTACATTATTTACATTTATTATAAATAGTATAAAAAATTTAAAAAAAATAATTTATACTTAATTTTTAGATGAACTCTCTTTAATTTAAAATTATTTTAAGGTATATTATTAGTTTAAATTATGTGAAATTAATTGCGTGATTTCAATAAGTTTTTATTTAATAATGAATCAAGCCTTTATATTACCTACTTATAATTTCTAATTAACTTACAAAAAATATAGTAAAAAATAAAGTCTATTTATGGCTAAAAAAATGAATTTATATCACAAAATAGATTTAAAAGCGGTAAAAAGCTATTCATAAGATAAAATAGTAAAGTAAAGTATTCAAAATATAAACAATAATATGTATGAATTTTATAGAATTCTTTGAGAAAATACATTTTTGATTTTAATATTATTTCTTTGATCATTACTATTTTAAGATGCCTAATGATCAAAGAAGTCAATAAAACTTATTTGCAAAAACATTTACATAACCAATTCTAAAAGATGTGTGTCATCGCAATATAAAAACTAAGAAATTATATTCAAAAGCTTCATTAAAAATGGTACAATTTTGTAGAAATTATCTTAATATATTAATAATAATAAACTTTGCTTGTTTTAATAGCTGAATAATTTTTGGAAGCTTAATTCAATTAAAATGCTTAAAGAAAAGAGCTAAAATAGTTCATTTTATTACTTATCAATTTAATGTCACTAGTAAGATAAATCAAAATATAATAATGAAATAAAAAAAATATCGCAGTTTAAATATCCCTTCAAAAATTTAATGGCTTAAGTAGAAAAATATTTTTGAATCAATATAAACTTTACTATTTAATAGATAAATATTTTTTACATTCTATGAGTTTTTAATTGAAATAAACGAAATAAAGTAGTATTTATAAATACATTTTAAGGTAATAAATTTATTGAAGCATTTTCAAAAAGTATTAGAAAAGAAATACAATGAAAAACAATATTTTAAGTTAAGCATCTTTGAAATATATTTAATATGATATCTAAATATTATTATTAAATTTATTTGCTAATGTGATCTATTTGATTATAAAGGGGATTTTAAATACAAGTAATTAAATTTGCAAAGTATAAAATCTATTGTATTAATTACTGGTTAAATTAGCCTTAAAACATTTTTAATAGTTGTAAAATCAACAAATTAGACACTAATTATTTAATTTCAACTAATATCCATTTTTTTAATTAGCAGTTATTATATTTTCAATTTAAAAACGAAGTTTGAAATAAATCTATTTATTTAAAGATATCTTGAAAGAAATTTAGAGTAAACTAAATTTTGATATCAATAAAATTTATTAATGTAATCTTAATGTTTTTTATTAAAATTTTTATTAATAAACGGTAAAAGCAATTATATTTTAAGGTAAATATTTTTTAAATGAAAATAATTTAATTTTTAATTTATTTATATTGATAAAAAACTAAAATAATTTCTATTATTAGAAAAGAAAATGATTATACATTGATTATAGTTTTTATTTAACAAATTAATAGATTGTTTTAAATAAAACTAGTATGCCAAAATTAATCCTGTATTAAAATAATAAGAAACAATATCAAGATACATATTTAATCCAAATTGTTTCAATAAATATTATAGAGAAGGCAAAATATATTTTAAGGCAACTGTTTGTTTAAATCAATTTCTTATTTAATTAATTATTAAAGTAATCTTAATAAATAACATTAAGTAGGTGTTTTCTCATATGATAAAACCACAATTTTGATTAATTAGATTAAATTACTTTATATCTTTAGTATAAAATCAATTATCGCAAGTTGTAATGCGTAAATAATCGTATTAACCTTATCAAACAAAATCTTTTATAAAAATTATGATTAAATATATTTTAAGACAAATAATATTACACTAATCATAATTTTTAAAATTAAGTTATTTTAATAATAGAAAATTAAACAAATTTTGAAAATACAAAAAGCGTTTAGAGTAAATTTATTCATATAAAGCAAAGAATATCGAAGAAGGGGGTAGGTTATGAAAATGTAGGAACTTCTCAAAAAATTAATTTTAGCCATATATTCCAAAAAAATAGTTTAAGATTTAAAATATTAATCAAAAGAACACTCCCTTTTTTACCAAAATAAATAATAAAAATACATTTTTTAAAAGCTGTTACTTTGTTATTTAGCTTGATAAAATATGTAAATGTAAATTTTATTTTAACAATACTAATTTCATAATTCGATTTTTGTAATATATTTCAATGGTGGATTGATTTCTGATAATTATATTCTTTATTAACAATTAATTAAAAGTTGCTTTACATAAAATAAAAAAATGTTCTTGTCACTTCTTCAAACTATTTAATCTAAGAAGAAAAAAATTTAAATTATGTGGTAAAAAGTTAATTTATTATTATTCAAATGAAATACCATTAAATAATTGATAAAAGCGATTGTATTAATAATTTATTCTTTTTATTTTTCAATAGTTTGTAATTCAAATCCAATTAAAACCACATGAATTATGTAAATAATATCTTTTTTAACTTTTTCAAACTAATTTTAATTACTTTGTAATAATTTATTGATTTTAAAAGATTTTTGTCGTATTCTATCATTATAAACACTGTAAATGAATGTTTATTTAAAGAAGATATATATATTTTTAATATTTAAACTCATCTATATTTATTAAATCTAAAATAGTCCAAAATTAATGTTTTATTTTTAGATAGAAATTAATTTTATTATATAAATGACATGAAAAAATTAAATTTTACTATCTTATGTTAAAAATATAATTTATTCAGTTAATCTTGAAGTATTTACCATAGTTTTGGTAAATTAAGCTGTAAATTATTAATATAAAATCAGCATAATAATAAATAAGTATCAGGTTTTATATTTTTTGTGATAGGTTTCCACAATTAAAATTAGATTTTTAATAAGTCTTTGAGAACAGATAAGTATTTATTTTATCTAATTCGTAAACTATAATAAATTTTTTTTGATGTCTTAATCTAGATTTTATTAGTCTACGTTTATTAGCTGGTTGATATTACTGTTGATTGTTACTAAACTATAAAACAGATAATATCACTTTTATTAAAATTTAGTTTAATCATTTGAAAAAATCAAAACTAAATTATAATTTTGTATGCCTATTAGGAATTAATAATTTCAAGTTTACTTTAATTAGTGATTTACATCAGCTAGTTTATCGTTTTTAATCTATATCTTGATTTTAAGATTAGCGAAGAATACTTTTTAATTGATAAATCCTTTTGTTAGTATGCTAAAGTTACTAAATTATCAATAGTTCTTTCAGTGTATTTATATTTTTTTGCATTTTTACAATATATATAAACTAGTTGAATAGGATATTTAAAGCAGTTTGCTATTCATCAATATTTTTTTGTATCTTTTATATTATTTAGAAGAAACATAAATATCTAGAATATTTTTCATAGTTTTGAAAAGTTAAGTTATTGCAATCTATAAAATTTAAAATATTAGTTGAATGTAAATATTCTTTATTTATGTATATATTTTTGAGAGAACGAAATAAAAAGTTTAAATTTAACATATATTTTTCTATTTCTTTAAATTATTCTTTTGGGTACTTGTACTTGAGCTTAAATAGTTTCTAGTTATCTTGAAGTTATTAACTATAATATATAAAAATGAAAAATTTAAATAATCAGAATATATGATAATATAATATTTTCATTATTAAGAGAAATTCTTAAATATGTAAGTACAAAAAGAAGATCATTTTTTTAATAGCATCCAAATATATTAAATTTATTTAAAATATAGTAAAGTTAATTGAACTAATAATAGGATGCTTGTATTTTATTACTGTAAAATCTTAATTCTTAAAAAGTATATTAAATAAATTAATAAATTACAATTAAATGAAAAGAAATTAAAAAAATTAGTTTCAATAATATATCTAAATGAAATAAGATAATAACGAAGAACTCATTGTTTTAAATAATATTCTCTTCTTGGTTAATTTAAGTAAAACAAGTTAATCAAGTTCAAGAAATCTACTAAATAAATGGTTTTAAGATTCTATCAAGAGTTATGTATTAGAATCTGTTGCTGCTCCTCTGATAGTCAAACATCTTTGTTTTAGCTCTACCGCATAATTGAAAACATTTATTCACTCACAAAAAACTATTTAATGCAAACCTAAATACATGAGGATTATTGAATAGTATTTCTTCTATATCAAAAAATACAATCAAGAAGATCTATTTATATAAAATCTTTAGTAAATTCTTTCAAATCCTGAAGATATTACTTAAAGCAGCACAAAAAAAACATACAATACTTTAAAAACTGTGAGAAAATAGTTTGTATGCCTTTTAATCTTAAAGTATTTTAAAATATATGGATAATTAGAAGTACCTTCGTTTTATGAGCTGTGGAACATTTGCTATCCTTAAGAAATTTAAATAAAAAAAAAACTCACTAAGTTCGACAGATAAATTAAATCAGATATAAAGATCAAAGAAGAAGTCAATTGTAATGATTCTTTAATTTCCTCTACTGATCATTTTTTGAATTGTAGTTCCTCACTTTCTTTATCCAATTAATAAGACTATTTAAATTAAGAAATTTCTACTTATATAAACTCAAGAAAAAATAGTGATAAGTAGTTGTTCGAAAACACGAATAATGATGCGTAAAGTAGTGATTATTCTGATTACAATTCATGCAAATAACCAATTAATAATAGAATATTTGAAGAAGATAGTTATGAAGAAGAATCTATGAACCATTTTCTGTAATTTAACAAACAATTCTAATAATAAAATGAAGAGCAATCTACCTATTCAAAAGATTAATTTGATAATGACTAAGTATTATAGAGAGGACAATATTAATTGTAAAATTTTTAACAAAATACATAATTCAATTGATAATAAAGCTATTTATTTCATAAATGTTCCCTATTAAAAACAATATTATATTAAAATTTCATTTTTTTGCAATTAGATAACCATCAAATGTAAATTAACACTTTCGTTTTGTGTTAAATCTAATATTATCTAATTAATAATTTATTTAAAAAAACATATATAAACTCATTCAGACCTACTTTGAATGAAGACACTAATTAATTAATCAATTATTTATTCATGCATATTTACCCTGAAAAAAAGTAAAATAAATTCAATATTTTAAATATTTATAGTTTCTAAAGGTATAAAAATCTATTTAGATTAATTAGATTAAATTTAATAAAAATTTCTTTACTGTTTCTAAGATTAAAATCAGTCTGTATTATTATAATATAGACCATAAAAATATAAATTAAATACAAGAAAATTGGAAATTGGAACAATTTTTTCCATTTTTCACATATCATAAAGTCAAAATCTTTAAATATCAGAATTTAATTTATAAAAGTGCTGTATTACAGTATAAATTTTAAACTCATAGTATATTTAAAAATAGATTTCTAAATAATTGCTTTCTACAGAATTTAATAATATTATGTTATTTTTCAATATTTTATTTATAATTTTTTTTCTAAATATTAATATTAAAACTATTTTAACTGAATAAATCTGTATTTTGAATTAAATTGATTTTATTTTAAAGAGCGAAATAGTTTTGAAAACAATAAATTAATGCAAATGCATTATAGCTAAAAATTAAAAAGTACTTTTCTAAAATATTATTTTTAAAAGCTTTTATAAATATGTTTTTCAGAAGCAGGAGGGAGTAAAATAATAGCAATCTGCTGCCATCTATGCAAAAATAATTAATATTGCTTTTATTATTAAAGAAACATCTTAAATAAGATATCTTCAACCCTATTAAAAACACAGTTTTATAAAATATAAAAAGTGCTTATATTTTTAACTCATTAATTTATGCTAGGTAGAAGTAGGTTAACTCAAGTAGAATGTCTAAAATTTTAACTAAATTAAACAAATATTATTTTTATTAATATTTTAAGTAAATTAAATAGCTTAAAATAAGTATTTATTCATCAAGTAGAAGTAATTTTTTCATAACTTCATTATCATTAATACTGATTAAATTAAAAGTATCGATTATATATGTAAATGAGTTTAGTTTTTTGTAAAAATTTTTGAGCGAGCAGTAGCTTATAATTAATTAATTCATCTAAAATAGTTCAGCATATTAAAACTTTGTTATAGTATGAAATAAAATTAGAAAAATATTTAAATTATTTGTTATTGCTACATTTGCCTAAATAAATAAATTAAGGGTGTTCTTTTGCTTTATATCTAAATTTTAATTTATCAAGCTAATTTTTAATTAAAAAAAGAGTGAAAGAGAGACTTGATAGAGAAATTGATTAATAAGGTCTTAAATTTTTTAAAGAATAAATACAAGATATCATTAAAAAGATCTTAAAATGTACAAAAAAATTTTGCTTCATTATTATAATAATAAAAACAAATATATATTTTTATTTTAATTAATACTAAGTAATTGGCTAAAATCTATCATTTAAATTCTAAGTTAATTAAAATTTTAGTAATCTTCATTAAAACTTTAAGAAATTAGCCTGAATATTTTATTAGATATGTATTAGACATTCGGGTTTGAGCCTTAAATTCATTAAATTCTTTATTTATTATCAATCAATTTTTTTTCTTTTATAATCATAAATAACGCTAATAACTAATAAAAAAAATATTTTTTAACTACAAAATCTAAACATATAAACAAAAAAATATATTCATGTTAAACATCCTAAAATATACTCTTAGTTGATTTATTTCAACAACCGGAAGAAAGATTTCTAGAAATATTTGTTGCAAAATTTATTATATATGGAGTAAAAAATATTAAAGGGGTAAGCGAATATTTTAAAAATGATTTAATCAGATTTTTAATACTAATAATTTTAAATAATAATGTATTATTTCATTCATAACTCTTAAATTAATAAAATTATTTGGAAAATATTTTGATGAATATTATTTATCTCTTTCTTTTTTAATATCAAATATTTTGTTCTATCTAAATCAATAACCACAAATTATCTAAATAGTTAATTTTGAAATTCTTTATTAATCAATTATTTTTAAATACCTTTAATTTCTACTTTAGGTTAAAGTTTTCATAAAAAATACATTTTCTATTTAAGGATATTTAAAATTTAATTCTAATCATACACCGCTAATTGTTTAAAACAATAATTTGATTTACTATATAATAAGAAAAGGACTTATTTTACAACTTTTAAAAGTAAGATTTGTTTAATGAAATAATTCAAAATATTTTAAGAAAAGAAGTAACTTAAATTCTTTTTAATTTTTTTTTTTTTGAAACTTAATAATTAATTGATCAGTCAGTGTAAATAAAATTAATATTTTTTAGATTAGATTACTTTGAATTAATAAACTGAAATTTTATGGCATTTATTCTTGATGTGCTTACATTATCTGAAATAATTATCTTTTTTGATTTGCCTAAAATTTGAGTTACAATGAAATAAGAATTAATTGGTATTCTCATTATTTATTTTCTATTATTTTTTAAAAAGCAGATTAGATTAATTTTTGTGTATTTCAAAAATAAATAACAACATTCTTTATTTTAGACTAAATTAATTTCTTTTAATGAAAATAAAAAAGAAAATAACAATCAAAATATTACTTCTGAAAATAATATCTAATAAAATTTACCTTTATAATTTAGCTTGATATCAAAGTTAAAATTATTAATCAATGGTTCATTTTAATATTCAGTTGCTATCATACAAAGAATCACAATTTTTAAGTAAAATTAATGGCACTTCAAAAACATAACTTTAATAAGTTATATGGTTATGGCAAAAAATAAAATAAATTATTTTTAAAAATATTTTATATCAATTAAAACAAACTTATAAATTTGTAAAATTAGTTAAATTACTCCTTTTTATTTTTGTAAAAATATTAATTTATAACAATAGATGTAAGCTTTATTTGTTTCTTTTTAATTTCTGATTAATCATTTCATTAATGTTGTGAGCAAATTTTTTGTGGTTGCTATTAAAATATATTGGGTTATTATTTTTTGATTTAAAAACCAAATATATTTTTAGATAAAAGTTCTTTATGCTTCGAATTTCTTTTAAAGGGTATTATGACTTACTTCTAATGATTTTATTTCTTTTAAATTATTTAAAATTCCTAATAAATTCTAAGCTTTTTATGGATTTTCTTTGTTGTTTTATAATCTTTTATGAAGATAATCATCCTAAAATTTATTATTTAACACAAATAGGATATTATTTGAGATAACATATCTGTTTAAATAAAGATAAGAAACTTAAAACAACAACCAAAAGATACTTTTAGTTTATTTATTATAACAAATATATCGGATATATTTTAAATTATTGCAATCAAATGCCAAACATTTTATAAGTTGAAAATATTAATTCAGAAATTATTATTGCCAATTAGAGTTAATGTGTTATATTCGTTATGTTTTAGGATAAATGCTATTTTAAAATGAAATTAATTTAAGCGTTGATATCTATTGTCTTTTTAAAGATAATTAAAAAATATTTAAGTGGCTTAGCTAGTTTTATTTTCAATAAAAAAGATTTATATCAAAATAGAGTATAAGAAAAAAGGGGATAGGACAGTGGCCTCATAAAATTTTTAAAATTTACTATTATGAACGGGATTTTAAAATATACATAAATTAATGGTAGTTTTAGTAAGTTAAATTTTATTAAAAGTTTCTCTTCAGAGGCACATTTAATAATTGATTAGTCTGTTTATCATTGATAAGGAATAAATATTTAAGAAGTTATAATTTAAGATTTTAAGTAAAGCTTAAGAATATTAAGGTTAGAATTATTTATGAATGAAGTGATATATCAATAAAATCTATGAGTTATGGAAGACCTCCTTCCCCTAAGAGATTTAATAGAAATAAACTCACCAAATATAACAAAAAAGAAAAAAATATAAATTTAAAAATGCTATCTCAAAATATTAATACCTAAAATGATAAAAAACTTTCTAATTATTAATCTAAAAAATTTGTAAATATTAATACTTTGTTTTCTTTTATTAGCGAACATAATATATCTCTTGAAAATTTAAGCAATTAAACATTAAATAATGTTGATTAATCTAATATATAATAATATGAAAATTTTTAAGTAAACCAAAGCTTAGTCAATATACCTTAAAAACAGCCTATTAACAATATGATATTTGAAGAAGAAAGCTACGAATTAGAGCCTAAGAGCAATTATCTACAAACAAATAATAATCTAGAGCTATTATAAGAAGAATAGATAAAAATCTAAAATTGAGGTACATGCAAAAACTATTTAAAAATAAAACTGTATTACAATTATTACCTTTAATAAGAAAATAATATCTATTTTTACAAAAAATTCATATCATATTTTACATTATTTTTTTACTTAAATAAAAAAATAAATTTATCCTCAACTTTATCATATTTATTTTACATAAATTAAAACAATTAAGTTTATGTATTATGTACCAAAACTTTGTCTTTTAATAGTAAGAGTATTTCACTGTAAATTAAACCAGATTTATTAATTATTGAATGATTTACAAATTACTTCTTCTTAATTACCCTAAACTATTCTTCCTTATTTTCGTTAATTTTGAATAATTTCTTTTGCTTTTTTAAATAATCATATATAAAGTGTACCTTTTTATGAAATAAAATACATTTTAAAGTTTAGTTTTATATTAGTTAGTTAGTTAGTTAGTTAGAGCTCTTAGGTTTAAGTATTAAAAATTTATTAAAGTATCTCAAACAAAATCTTTACTAAGATGAAAACTTATAAAAATCTTCAAGATTGAAGAAAAGTAGATAAAAAATGAAAGTGTTTTAAGTTAGCATTGAAAATATTCCGTTTTTGATATTTTACTAAAATTGTTTAAATATCTAGTTATAAACAAATATAAATATTCTGTTTAAAATTCTTGTAATAATAAGGAGGGACTAAATATCAGGAGAATATTTTTAGCCATTAAACACTTAAATATGTATGATTCCTTCTTTTCAAAAAGCCAAAATGATTATTTACAAAACCATCACAAAAAAATAAATACTTATCTACATAAATTCACATTATTATGCATCTAAGTTATATATTTCATTCAATTAAAGAATAAAGTTTAAAAAAAATATATTTAATATAAAATATTCTAATATTGCTAATCAATCCTACTATCTATAAACTAAATTCTACTTATATTTAGATAAGCTTATAAAATAACTATTAATGAAATTTTTATCTTAGTCATAATAATGATCACTAACATATTAACCAAATTTATTTTAATTGATAAATTATTATTACCAAAAATATCATAAATTAATATTTTTGTAATTTTTACTTATTATATATTTCTATTTTTCTTACTATTTTTATAGCTTTATATTTTAATAAAAATAATACAATTAAATATTTAACAAGTGAACAAATTAGGTTTGTATTAGAATTTTTAAAATGTAATTTAATTTATTTATTTATTTTTGAAAAAAAATTTTCCATCAAATAAATTAAATAACTTTATCAATTACTATCTAATATTTAGTTAGTTATGATAAAAAAAACTATTGTGATAATATAGCTACTACTGCATTATATTACTTACAATAAGTTTTTTATTCTACATCTTAATCATTTTCTTAATATTTATTTTTAAAACGCTTAAGAAAATTAATCAAAATACAGATAAAATTTATTTTTTTTAATTTTGAGATTCAAAAATTATTTACAGTAAATATATTTGTTTTTAAATTTTTCTAAAAAATTTATCCTTAGTTAAAATATAAAATTTTTATGTTCTTGATTTCTATACTGTGCTCGGTGCTCTAGGTGGGCATTTATTCAAAGTTACCCTAATTTTCTTCTTGTTTTTTCAATACTCCTTCAAAGCTTAAGTAAAATTAAATAGCATATTTATCAAATGGTTGATTATTTAGTTTGATTGATTAAATAGAGAAATATTTAATAGAAAATAAAAAATCTAATTGATCCTAAGTGTGTAGGTAAATTTTGTTTATGAAATATGTCTCTTTTTCTTAATATTAAAAATCTAATTCTCTTTTTGTTTTAATTTGTAATTCCCCTTCAAATACAAGCAAAATTAAATAGGATATTTATCAAATGGTTGCTTATTTAGTTTGATTGATTAAATAGAGAAATATTTAATAGAAAATAAAAAATATCTTTCTTTCAATTTACATAATTTTCATGGTTTTAAGACAATAAAATTTGATAAATATGTAACTAAATATTTAATTAAAATTTATTTTATGTATTTCATCAGAAATTCATTTATATCAATTGGAATTTAAAGTGTAGTGTCTATTAAAAATTAATTTGGTTTTTTTTACATTAAATTAATAGTTTGCATATTTAATTAGAAATAAAAGCTTTTATTTTAAGCTATTTTTAACTAATTCTTGATTTTAAATTACGCACATATATAATATGGAAATTTCGCTCTTAAAAACATATAAACAATTAATTAGATAAAAATCAACAAAAAAAAAAACTCAAATAATAACGAAAGAAATGAGCTAAATTAACTAAGGTGAGTTGATTATTATGAAAAATGTTCTCTTTTTAGCTTAATCAAGCAAAAAAAGCTTATAAAGCTAAAGAAATTTACTAAATAAATGGTTTTAAGATTCTATTAAGAGCTATTTTATGGAATCAGTTGCATCTCCCCTGATTGTTGATTACCTTAATTTAGAATCTGCCTAATCCGTTAAAGCACTTATCCGCTAATAAATTAACTAAAATAAGCCTATATATATGGGAATCATTGATTAATATTTTAATTATATTAATTAATACAACTAAAAGTACACTTTTACAGCAAAGCTTCAAGAGATTCTTTTGGAACCCATAGATATTACTAATTTGAGTTAAGATTGTTCTTACAATTGTATGAAAAAAGTTAGAAAATAATTTGTATCTTTTCTAATCTTAAAGTACTTTAATTTATATGGCCAACAAGAAATGTCATCTTTTTATGATCTTTGGAATAACTGCTTCCCCTAAGTTGTTTAAGTAAAAAAAAAACTTTCTAAATACGATACAAAGAGTAAAAGTAAAAGGTCATAAGCCAATCATAAATAAGAACTTGCTGAAAATAAGTCTTTAAATACTTCTTTAAACCTTTTAAATTCCAATAGCTCTACTCCTCATTCTAATAGATTAGAAATCACTGGTTTATAAGTAATCGAAATCCCAAATATTAAGATAATTAGCAATTCTGACTTATATTAAGTCCCTTTCTAAAGTGAAAGTGACTATAAATATGAACCTAATTCTTAAAAGTAACCAATTAATAATGGTATCTTTGAAGAAGACAGCTATTAAGAAGAATATATTAACTATTTTGATTAAAACTATAATTATTCTACCTTCTAATAAAATAAAGACTAATTTAATAACTAAGTTGATTATTAACCAATCAATTTCAATCATGAAGATTAATAACTACCTTTCTAAAACTAATAAGAATCTTTCTAAGATTAATAATAATTTTTAATAGACTAATAAGAATATTTATGCTATTAATAACATCAATTATATTAAAATAACTATTAATAAAATTATTATCTTAATCATAATGATGATTGATCACTAAAATTTTAACCAAATTTATTTTAATTGATAAATTATTACCAAAAATATCATAAATTAATCTTTTTGTAATTCTTACTTATTTACTTATTTACTCTAAAAATAAATAAATAATTAATTAAAACTTAGTATTTATTAAATATCTTCTTAAATATTATATATAAAAAAAATAAATTAGTATTAAAAATTTTACTTTTATTTACCATAAAAATACCTAAAAATTTATTTATTTTGCTATTTATAATTAATATTTTCATTCATTTATTTATTTACTAAAGCTAAAAAAATATTTTTAAAAAAGATATTATTTATATTTAATATGTTATGTAGTTATAAATTATAATATCTTTAATAATATTAAACACTGTAAAATGGAATTGAATCTAAAGAATACAATAAAATGTTTTTTGGACGCTCTTAAAATTTTAATTTGTTACAATCCAATCGCTCATCAAAATGTGATCAGGTGGTTATTCGAAAATTTATGGTATTACTGAATTGATTAATAAGTTAATTTACTTAAAATTAATTTTTGAAATAAAATGATAATAATTTGCATTAAAAAATAAAAAATGATAAAAAAGTTTCATAATTAAACAAATAAATGTTTTTTTAATGGTTTAAGAAAAACCAAATTCAATAATCACAATTTAAATTTTTAAATGCCAGTATATTTCTTATTTGTTTTATCAGTTAAATATTAATAATTAATACACATCATTTTTGCTACCAAAACATATTGAATTTTAAGTATTTATTTTTTATTAACAAATTAATATTTGAAATTACTCCTAATAAGATAAGGATAAATAAATAGCTGGTTTTTAATTTTGAAATTAAAGAAATCCAATTAATAAATCAATCAATCAAATTAATTTAAATATACTATTAAGCAAGCTAATAAAATAAATAGTAATAAAGTTAACTACATATATAAATGATAAAAATAAATATTAAATAGATTAGTTTGTAAAAAGAAGAAGCAAGCATTAAAAATATTAAAATAGAAAAGCATACTTTCAGAGAGACCGCATCTAATAATATGTTGGCAATCAAATCATTATTTTAATTCTATAAATATATGCCAAAGGTTTTTATTTTTTTTGTGTAATTGAATGATAGCATAAAGTAGATTAATGTAATTAAGTAGCTATAATGTTAACAACAGTAACTTAAATCTACAAATTTAACTATAATTTCTCCCAATTAATAAACATAAAGATTTGCTTTTGTTATTAAAAAATGAGCCCATATTTAGTTAGCAAATTGAAGTCAAAGATGTTAAAAATGAGAGTGTTGATCTAGATTGATGAAAATTTTTATTTGAATAATAAAACTTAAACAAATAATCTAGTAGAAAGTCATTTCATCTTGTAGGCAAAATGACTAAAGATAAATATTATTTCAAAATTCAGGTAAGTTTTATAATTAATTGCAACATTTTACCTTGCAATTACAATAGCTAATACATTTATTCTTTTTATTTACATACAAAGACACTTCCTTATTAATAATATTTTGAAGCCTGAAGCTAATGGTTTAATACAAAAGATAAATAATATTTTAAATTATATTTAGCATATTTAGCAATACACATATATTGATAGCACTTGTAGAATACTAGGTTGATATAAATAGAATGACTAAGTCAAAAATATTAAGAGACAGCTAAGAAAAGATATTTTATCTTCCAATATAAATTAATGCTCTTTATGAAAAGAACTCATAAATTTAATCAACACCAAAATGGTCAGTATGAAAAATGACACAAATTAGCCATCAGTTTTATCAAATAATCAAAATAAATCAGCAGAATAATTAAAATTAACTATACTTCGTAGTTTTCAACTTCATAGCAAGAATAAAAGCTAAAAGACTCACTCATTATCAATCAAAAAACACAAATTTAAAGTAAAAATAAATACTCTAAATCTTCATTAATTAAGAGCCGCATAAATTAAGGGCCAAAAAAAAATTTTTATTGTTAATTTATTTGGTTATATTTAATATCTATGGTTGAAGAAGATTTTTACTAAAGAGGTAACAAGGTAATCTTTTATAATAAATGTTAATGAATTCAGATGATAATTAGAAATCAAATTTTTTGAATAGCTTATAAAGTTAACTAAACCTTGAAATATGTATTAAAATGGTTATATAAATGTTTATATATTAATATGTTAAATTGAATAAGCAAATATCATAGAGTTAAACAATTTTTTTTCAGCCTTATATATTTTGAATTAAATTTGTTGTTTGTTTGCTTTTATTCTTTCAAAGTACGAATTTCTCTTTTTATTTGTAAAATAATGATAATAGCCTGACATTTATTAAAATTAACTAACCAAATATTTGATTCATTTCTTATCTTACCAAATGATTTGAGTTTTTTTATTTTATGAATAGCATTTACTTGGTGTAGAAATATAGTTAACATAATTGGATTTGTTTAAATAAAAGAAAAATTTAACATTAAAATGAAAACTATCCTACACAGTTGGTGATATTTTAATTACAGGATTATCAATATATAAATATCAAATCTTAATTAATACTTCAATAAATGTTTATTTATTAAAAAATTTAGAATTATTTTTAGCGAGAAAAATAAATTTCAAGTTTCCTCCTATTTAAATAATAAGTTGATAAGATAAATTAATAGAATGAAGATCTTTTATTAATTTAATATATCATACACATTTTATATTTGAATATTTTCTAATTATAATTTTCATTTATAAAATATAAAACATCCTTAAGTGATTGATGCTTAATTCTTTAAGAAAATTAATAAGTATTATGGAAAATGGCAGATAAAATATATTAATTAGCCTAAGTAAAAATTAATATCTTTATTTATTATCAAATTTATTATTAATATTTTCCTAAATATATTTGAAATAAAATTTAGATTAACCAAATTTGTCTTAAAATAAATAACATTTTAAGGGAAGTAATAATAGGAATAATTATTTGTCAATTTATTTAAAATCCATTTAAATAAAAATTTATTTGAAGTAATATTAAACAATACTATCTTTTATTAGTATTATAAACAATCTGTCTATCTAGCTAGCTTTGTTTGATGATTACAAATATTGTGTAAGATAGAAAGCTTAAATGATTTCTGATCTTAACTTGCATTTTTTTAAATGAAAATATTTAAAACTTATCTTTAAATAAAAATATATTTAACTATTTAACAATTTTTAACTATTATAATAAATTAAATATTATAATGAATAGTTTTGCACAAATGCTTTGTAAAAAGTCATAAATTACATGGCACATATCATTCATTGGTTCGTTATTTTGTTAAAAAAGTAGAGATTTTTATTAAGTCTGTATTTACAGAATTTTTCTTAAAATTAATTTTAAGGAAAGGAATAACGGAAATTGGTTAATTAGATTTTTCAATATTAGATTATGAGTTTGATGAAAATTTTTGATTAAGATTTAATCAGATTTTAAAGTAATAATTAATGAATGGAATCAAACTGTAAATTAATTGATTCTATTTATCAAGAGGATAAATATTTGATACATTATCTTAATTAAATTAAGATTCTTAAGGTATAAGTATTTAATTGTATTTATTTTATTATTCATCTATAGATAGGATTTTTCTATTTTAAACTAGCAATGATATTTTGAAAATAAAATATATTCATCGATTTAGATTGTTTTATAGAACAAAAATAAATTTAAGTCTGTGTTTTAGCTGTTTTTTTAGATTTATCGCAAAGTATCTTACTTAATGAAAAGAGGCTAAAAACTAATTATTTTAAATACTATTTGAATGCTACTTTTACTCATTTTTGCAGTATTTATTCCAAAAATAAGAAATAAATTACAATCAATTATTATGTTGAAAATTGTAAGTAAAACAAATATATCTACTAATAATAAATATAGATACAAAGTTAGTTAAAATTTTTTTAAAACTATACTAAGCTAACTTTAAATGAAATCAATTGAATCTTAATTTTAAATATTCTAAATATTTATTTATATTTTTTTTGGTAATAGTTATATTTATTTATTTAAAAATTAGTTTTTTACAATTCTATTGATTTTTCTTTTAAACATTTTCTCCTTTTTATATTTGCAAGTTTACTTTGATTTAAAATTCTGATTAATTCTAAATTAAAGAACTTTTTCTTATGTTTAAATAAATTCTATGCTCATTAAATGCAAATTTTAAATAGCGATTTATTTATTTTTTAACTTTTATAAAAATCTACATACATGCATACATAATTTAAAAGTCAAATAATGGTTTATTAATGGTAATAAGCATAAATTTATGCAGTTTGTAAGTTAATAAATAAAGATTAAATTATTTTATTAATTATATATGACTTAATTAATTTACTTCTAACTCTTTATCGACTAGCGACTATTGTTTGTTTTAATGTGTAATTTCGAATTTTATAAATAAAGAAAAAAATTAATTTTTATATTTGAGTTATTTTAATCATCAAAATAAACGATGTTTAATAAAAAATAAATTGGTACAAATAAATTATAATTATGTTAGACTAATTTTATTTTAAGGTAAATATTTTATTAAATTAAAGTTAATTAAGAAGATTTTAATTAGAAATCTTTAAAATAATACTCTAGATTAACTATTTGAATACTTATTTACTTACTTCCTCAATTCTATTTTTCAATAAATATTTTTTTAAACGAACAAGCTAACTAACTAGGTAATATAAAACATAAAAATTATTAAATTGTATTACTCAAAATAATTTAAATACTAGTTAATTATTTTATTAAATAGTAATTTCATATTACTCTAGCTAGTTAAAATATTTTGTCTTTTATTAAATAGCTTAAGTCTTTTAAATATTAAGTAGCATAAAGCAAATAAATAAAAAAGTAAGGCAATTAAATATTTATTTATAGTCTTTATTTTTAAGACCCATTTGGCTTTGTATTTCATATAAATAATAAATAAAAAAATAAATTAATTATGATTGAATTTAAAAAAATCAGGTGATTAGGTGATAATTAGTAATAAAATGTTCTAACCAAATGAAGACCAGTTGGTAATTATGAAAAATATACTCTACTTAGCTGAGAAAAACAAAAAATCCATTCAAAGCGAAAGAAATCAACTAAATAAATGGTTCTAAGATTCAATAAAAAGTTATATTTTGGAATCTATCGCATATCCTCTGATCTCTAAACATCTTAAAATATACTCTTCAGCAGGACTCAAAGCATTTATCCATAAGAAAACAGACAAAACTAAACCTAAGTATATGGGAATCATTGAATAATATTTTATCCATATCAACAAATACAACTAAAGTGATATTTTTGTAAAAAAGCTTCATTAAATTTTGTTGAACCCTATTGACATTACTACATTAAACGATGAATATAGCAAAAAAATTTTAAAAACTGTCAGAAAGCAATTTGTGTGTTTTCTAATCCTAAGGTACTTTGAGGTGTTTGGTATACTAGAAATTCCTTCATTTTATGAATTGTGGAACATCTGTTTCCCTTAAGAAGTTCAAATTAAAAAGAAACTATCAAAATTCGACAAATATGCAAAAAATAAGTAGTAAATCTAGATCTAAGATTAATTTTATTTAAATAATTCATTTTAAAATTCTTTTATTTTTATAAATAGTAGCACTTCTCTTAATCATGGAATCTAACCAAATATCTAATAAGAATCGCATTCTAATTTTTTGTTTTAAAAATTAAATGGTTTAGATTAATAAAATATAGAATTATCTAAAGACAATTAGATGATCTAAGAATAGGTTTTCTGTTCTTAGAAACAGCCAATTAATAACCAAATATTTGAAGAGGACAGCTACTAATAAGAATCCAAGAGTCATTTTCTAAAATTTCATAATAACAATTATAATACACACTAAGAAGAGTAATGCCTCTCTCATTAAAATAATTGCAAAGAAAACTATTAATAAGTATATGAAAATATATAAATTGAATGAATTCTTATGTAATTATTATTTAAGTATTATTTATATCCTTAAAACAAAGCTTAATATAAAAATTATTATCAAATAAATCAAATAAAATCTAATAAAATAAATAACTAAAGTTAACATTTTCTATCATCTAAATATAAATTAATTTTATTAAATTATTTTCTCTGACTTAAATTCCAACTTAGTTTATTATTTTATCAAAATTAAATACCTTCTTTTATAGCAATAAATAACAAAATTAATTATTTAAATAACTTTTTATTTTATGTAAGTATATATTTATCTCACTCTCTACCATATAGAAATATGTATATAAAATCGAGAATAAATTTAATTTATCAAATTTAATATTATTTCTTTCTTTACATACATACATACTAACTAGCTAGCTAACTAACTAACTAACTAACTAACTAACTAACTAACTAACTAACTAACTAACTAACTAACTAACTAACTAACTAACTAACTAACTAACTAACTAACTAACTAACTAACTAACTAACTAACTAACTAACTAACTAACTAACTTATTAACTAACTAACTAACCAACTAACCAACTAACCAACTAACTAACTAACTAACCAACCAACTAACAAACTAACTAAATAACTAACTAACTAAATAACTAACTAATTTTATTTTCAAATGTTTTCATAGAGATTACAATCTAATTTAAAGATTTTTTATTTCTTACTTTAATTTAATTGAAATATAAATTATGTGAATATTTTTTAATTTTGAAATAGATTCTACTTCATATAAAATTTAATTAATTTAAAGCTCAAAAAAATTATTTCTAATTTGGAAAAGAAATTTCAAAAAATTTGTAAAATGGTTGATTCATTTATTATATACAATTAAGAAAGATTATATTTCCGTCTTTCTATATTTTCAGGAATGAATATCAGATGAATTAAACAAACCTTCTTTTATTGTAAGTATTTAAATAAAAATTTATTACACTTTGTTTAAACCAAGAAACTTTCAATTAATTTATCTCACAATTTTTTAAGATTGATTTCACCGATGTACAGCTAATTTTTAAATAAATGTAATTATTAGTTTGTAGGTAAAGTAAGTAAGAATAACAGAGCATTTAATTATTGACATAAATAAATAAAAATATATATAAAATAAACATATTGATTGAATGGAATTTGGGTAATGAATATAGTAATTAGTTAAATCAACTTAAAAAAAGAATCAATCAACAAGAATTAAGTAAATTTAAATGAAATTTTCAAATTAATAATGAGTTTTTATAAATTGATTATTTATTTTTCCTCTTTTCTTAATTAATTACCACAATCAATAATGATTTTTATAATAATGCAAATTAGCCACCTTATTTTAAACTTTCTAGCAATTAATTTACTTGCTATTCAAATATCATAAATAAGTGTTTGAAAAAAACAACACTCTTTTATTGGTGAAACAAAAATTAAAGCTGACTTATGACCTAATGTTTTTGCTCTATAATGATATTTCATCATTAATTTGTTTAATAATGAATGATGACTGACTAAGTATCAAATTAAAATATAAAATTTTACTTCAAAATATAGATGAAATCTTCATGTTCATTATTGTAATTATTATATTTTAAACTGATTATAAAAGATTTTTCATTTATTTACTTTCTTTAAATCAATAGCAAATGTATATCAAACCATGATTTAAATATAATAAAATTCACCTTAATTCTTCAAGCTATGTAGATTAAAACTGTAATTTATCTGTATGAAATTTAAAAAACCATGAAGAAATTTTCCAGCAAAAAATTCCATAAAATTATAAAAATATCATATAAAAAATGATAAAGTAAATCAAATAAATAGAATAAAGGAAAATTTATAAGATTAAAATAATTTAAAATTAGTATTTGTATCTATTTATATACTATAAAGAAAGTATGCTCTTTTCAAATATTTTTTAAGAATTAAAATATCTGTTATAATAAATAAATTAAGTAGGTGAATATATTGCTGAGTTCTACTTTATAAATTAAATGAATGAATGTCATTTCTCAAATAAAATTTTGAGTGTATTAACATTTGTTTTGGATATTTTCAAAAACAATTGAGGCAAAAATAATATATGATTTTGATCTTCCTTTATTATTCAATTAAAAAATGAATCTCTTGATGTAATAAAATTTGTTAGAAAATTACTGATGTAATATCCTCATTTATTTTTAAATAATGAATGACATGTAAGTTTATCGTAAAACTTTTAGGCAAATTAATACTTTAAAGAAAAAAAATATTTTAAGTAAAGTAAGTAATGTTTAAGGAGATTAATATTTTAAAGGAAAATAATGATTTTAATAATTAATTAAGCTTTTAAAGGAAATAACCGCACATTATTTTACCTTTAATTTTATACAAAAACTTCATAAACTAAACAATTAATGTATTTTATTTATCAACTCATTCATTAAAAATTAGTACTATATTTAATAATAGATTAATTTCTGTATTAAATAATCCTTTATTTTCAATAAAAAGTTAGAATTTAAAAGCTAACAAACATCAATTTGACAAATGAAATACTATTTTGTTTTTTTACTGAAAGTTTTTTTAGAACGAACCAGTAAAATCGACTTATTTATTTTTAATTTGTTTTGCATTTTTACTAATATTATGCTTAGATTATAATAAATTTACTTTCTTAGCGTAGAATATTTTCTTTAAAAAAGCGAGTGTTGTCTTTAATTTGCTTTTTTTAAAATATTTTACTTTTCAAATAGAAAAACTGTATATTTATTTTACTTATATTTAAAAATAAACATCATTTCACATCAGCAAACATCAAATGGAAAAAAATTTTTTACATAAAGGTTTTTTAGAACTAACCAATAAAATCGACCTATTTATTAATTTCTTTTATATTTTTAAATATAATGCTTAGATTATGGTAAATTTACTATGTTAGGATAGAACATTTTCTTTAAAAAAGCCACTATTTTCTTCAATTTGCTTTCTTTAAAATATTTTACTTTTCAAATAGAAATACTGTATACCTATTTTACATATTTTTTAAAATGAATGTCACATCAAGAAGAAATTTAGTTTTAAATTTTCTGTTGTTAATCAGGCTTGATTTATTTATTGATGTGAAAAATTACTAATATAGATAAAAGATAAGATTATTAGAAATCTGACTGTGTTTATTAAGAAAAGTCATATCTAATAATAAAAATTTTCTTAATGTTATTTGATATCTTTAGAATGAGTAAGTTAATAATTAAATGAGCTTCACATATTTTTCTAAACTAATACTTTTAAGTATTAATAATTACATTTTCTTTAAAATAAAATAATTTAAGTTTTCTATTTTCTAAAAAATAGAAGAAGGACAAATTAATTTTGTCAATTAAAAAAAATTATTTTAATATTTTTAATTTACATTTACATAAATAAATAAATGATTGTTTTATTTATTGAATAATTAGATAATATCTAAATTATACTACTTTGTATTGTTTTATACCTTTAAATTAATTACAATTTCTTAATTAATGAGTATGGAGAAATTTAATTCACACTAAGTGAGTTATCATTTTATTTATTGTATAATTGGATAATATCTAAATTAATTATACTATATTTCTCCTTTTTTTGTTTGTTTTTTTCCTTTAAATTAATTAAAATCTCTTAATTATGAGTTTGGTAAGAAACAGTATGAAAAATTAATTATTTTAATAAAGAGTTTTTAATATTGTGTTGATTGATGTGATCTGGAATCATTTTTATTTGGATTTAGCTTTTGTTAAAATATGCTCATTGTTAAAAAAAAAGAATATAATAAAATTCAGAAACATTAATTATTTATTAATCCTAAGTGGTGGGTATAAAAAAAAAGAAATTCAATGAAGAAGCATCATCAATATATCATCATAACCCTAATTATTTACGTCATTATTATTTTTTAATTTCTTAGAGAGTCTGAGAGAGAATAATTGTAAGAAAATATATTTTTTAAGTAAAGAGTTAGTGGGAATTGATTTGTTTTTCCATAGCTTCCTTCAATTAGTAAATAAGGACTTTGAATGTTTAGGCAAGATAATAGAAAATATTTAAAAAAATAAGAAATTATTACAATTTAAACAACTTACCCGTCTAATAACACTAATTTTTAAAAATATTTTCTATTCTTTCTTATTTAATGCTCTGATTAATGAACCCGCCTAACTTTAAGTGTTTGATTTTTTATAACAGTAAACTGAAATTTTTATATTGAAAGCCAAAATATTACATAAGATCTAATAGATTATCAGTATTATATTTTATAAAAATTGATAATAACAAAAATAAATTATGAGGTTATGATCTTTGCGTTCGCTTTAATAATATTTGCCACTAGAATAATAATATATTTTTATAAAGCGTATTTATTACCGAAAAGTGATGAAATTTAGAAAGAAATAAAATGAGTAAATATTAATTAATTCAAATCACATAAATTCATATAAATACTGAATGCTCCTTTTTCTCTTCTTAAAAATTATATGATATTTATCTATTTTAATAATTCTTATTTCTAAGTTTTTCTCTTGAAACAAACATTAATTAAGTTAAAAATTAAATTTACCCATCAAATTTTTAAATTAGTAGTTAGTTATCAATTATTCCTAAAAATTCAATTTAGGGATCCTTGGGAGAAGAGGGAAATCAGGGAAAATAGCTAGGATAAAATTATATTTTTATTTGAATAAAATGCATGGTGTTGTAGCATACCATTAAAATTTCAACATTATTTATACACTGTAGTTTCAGATATGCTGGGAAACTCTTGTTTCTGAAAATTTTTAGTAATCAATTAATTTTTTTATCTTTATATAAATATCTCTTAGATAATAAATAACTTAAGGCTTAATAATGTTTGTAGATATATATATATTTTTTTTAATTTATATAAATTACTTCTGGTTATGTAAAAATCACTCGCTAATTAAAAATTATGTGTTTTTATTAATTTGTTTTTTTTAATGGCAATAACCCCATGGAGTTTCCTTTTTTATCATAAACAATTAAATTGATAATTAATAAATAGTTTTTTTGTTATCTAAATAAAGGTTACTATCACTTGAAAATTCAATTAGTTTTTTATAATAATTTATGCGTATTGAATAGATTAAATAGATAATATTTGGTGAATTGAAAAATATAATAGAGATTTATCATTTATTTATTTTCAAGAACTTTTTTTAGAATAAATAGAATTTAAATTGGCAACTTTGCATTCAAAAATATTTTAATCATAAAAGTAAAACAAACTTCTATTTAATTTTTTAAATTGCTGATCAAGGATGGCCAATGTAAACTTTGTGCCGTTTAGAATTTAATGAGATCTTACTGAGTACGTTGGAGTCTAATTGATAAATTCTTTTATGCGAGTAATTATTTCATATGATTTTCAATTATATAAATTAAATAGATTACTATTTTTTTAAACAATATAGTAACAACCTTTCAATATCAATTAGAACTAATCTTTAATTTTTATTCATTGTTATAAATTTTTAGACATATTTATCTATATTTTACAAAAAATTATTTTATGATTTTAATTTGAGCATAGAATTATCTTTTAAATCAATCTACTATTTATCTGAATGATATAATAAGAAAATAATTTCAAAATTATTTATTTTTAATACTACTGATACACAATGCGTGCAAAAAAAATAAAATGTAAACAAAATTTAGATTACTTTTTTAAGTAGTAAACCGAAAACAAACTTTAAATACAAGATTGGTCTCCTTCAAATCACATAATAAAAATAGTTAAAATATACTATAGATGTAACTATTTATGTGAGAAACATTCAGAGATTATGAATATGAAAAAAGTAATATGTAATAATATAATATTGCTAATCCAGGTATTGACATTTGAATGATAAGTTGCCTTTTGTTTTTTTTTATTTAGGTTTGTCAGAATTTATCAGCTCTACATGTGATTTTATTAAAAAGATAGGCCTTTTTTTTTTAGAAAAACTAATTTTTTTGCTATTTGATTTATATTTTTCAATCTAATTGAGAAAATCATAAAATTGATAATTTCAAATATTAGATAATTAATCACAAATTAGTTTAGGATATATTAATATCTAAAATAAGCACAAGAAGTAGGAATTGAATTAATTCTATTTTTATTATAAGCTAATAATGGGTGTGATTTTAATTATTATATGAAAAATTGCGAATAACTAACCATACTTATAAAAATTTAAATACAGAATAGCATAAGATAGAAAATTAATAAGAGGTAGAGTAAAAATATGATCAGACAATAAGTTTTTTTTGAAATTAAATATAGTTTATTTAACTATAATATCTTCGCTTTAAGTAAAATAACAGAATAGAATGCTTGAAAATAGCTTACTCTAGAATAAATTATCTAGTAAGCATCTAAAAAATAAATTTAAATATAGAGAGATAAATCTTGCAATCATATGATAATTAAAATAATTTAATCAAAAAATCAACTCATATCAGATTTTAATTAATTATTTTCTGGCTAATTTTAGATTTGAAAGGATATTATATGATTATGGGGTAGTAAAAAAAAAAAAAAAATTATAAATAAGTGAGTTAAAGTTTGATAGCAAATTCTTTGTATTTATGATGATTTAAATTGTGGTAATTTATTTTCAAAAAATTATATAAAGAATTAATTGATAAATAAAAACATAGAAATCAAATAAATTCTAAAAGTTACTAAAAATGAAAAAATTAAATAAGCAAGAGTAAATCATTCAAAAAAATATACTCTTCTTATCTGAAATTCATAAAAAACTTAAACAGGTCAAAGAAATCTACTAAATAAATGGTTCTAAGATTCTATTAAGACTTATATTTTTGAATCGACTGCATCTCCTCTAATTGCTAAATACCTTAATTTAAGGTCTTCCGCTTAAGTTAAAGCCTTCATTCACGAGTAAACAGACAAAAATAAACCTAAGTACATGGGAATCATTGAATAATATTTTATCTAAATTATCAGATACAACTAATAAGACCTTTTTCTATAAAAACTTCATGAAATTCTTTTGAATCCTATTGATATTACTCAACAATAAGAAGATTAAAGTTACAAAGCTCAGAAAACTGTTAGAAAGTAATTTGTGTGTTTTTTAATCTAAAGATACTTTGAGTTATTTGGGTTGTTGGACATTCCCTCATTTTATGAACTATGGAATATTTGCTTCCCATAATAAATTTAAACTAAAAAAAAACTCTCTAAATTTGACAAAAAGGCTCAAAATAAAACTTTGAAATCCTAGATTAGAAATGAAGATAATCTAAACACTAGTTTAAAAAGATCTACTAGTTTTATTAATAGCCTCGACTTTCCTCTTTCTTTTAATTCCTAATCAACTATTAAAAATTTATAAGAAGAAACTTTTACTTAACTGTCTTCAAAAATAGATGAATTTTATTAACCAAATAATTTCTAATTTTCTGAAATTTAAGATGATCTAAATCATTAAAAGCGCCCTTCTTGTTTATTTAATAGTAGTATCCTCAACTCTCCACTTTCTTTTAATTCCTAATCAACTATTAACAATTAATAAGAAGAGACTTCTACTTAACTCTCTTCAGAAATAAGTGGCTTTTAACCAAAGAATTTCTAATATTCTGAAAAATAAAATGATCTTTATCATTAAAAGGGCCCTTCTTGTTTATTTAATAGTAGTATCCTCGACTCTCCACTTTCTTTTAATTCTTAATCAACTATTAAAAATTAATAAGAAGAAACTTCTACTTAACTCTCTTTATAAATAAGTGGCTTTTAACCAAAGAATTTCTAATATTCTGAAAATTAAGATGATCTTTATCCTTAAAAGTGCCTTTCTTGTTTTTCAAATAATAATGACCTCTACTCTCCTCTTTCTTTTAATTCCAATTCAAATATTTAAAATTAATCAGGAGAGACTTCTATTTGTCTCTCTTCAGAAATAAGTGGCTTTTAACCAAAGAATTTCTAATATTCTGAAAATTAAGATGATATTTATCTTTAAAAGTGCTCTTGTTGTTTTTTAAATAATATTATCCTTCACTCTCCTCTTTCTTTTAATTCTAATTCAAGTATTTAGAATTAATCATAAGAGACTTTTACCTAACTCTTTTCAAAGATAGATGGCTTTTAACCAAAGAATATCTAATAGCCTGTAAATTAAGATGATCATTATCCTGAAAAGAAGCCAATTAGTAATTACAATTAATCAAAAGAGATTTGTATTTGTCTCTCTTCAGAAATAGGTGGCTTTTAACCAAAGAATTTCTAATATTCTGAAAATTAAGATGATCTTTATCTTTAAAAGTGCTCTTGTTATTTTTTAAATAACAGTGTCCTTCACTCTCCTCTTTCTTTTAATACCAGTTCAAGTATTTATAATTAATCAGAAGAGACTTTTACTTAACTCTTTTCAAAAATAGATGGCTTTTAACCAAAGAATATCTAATAGCCTGAAAATTAAGATGATTATTATCCTTAAAAGAAGCCAATTAATAATAATATAATTTAAGAAGATATCTATGAATAGGAATCATGAACCATTTCATCTAATTTCATAATAATTAATAACAACTTATCACAATTAAAATCAGATACCTCACTAGAATATATACCACAATAACCATTTAGAATATTATGAAATTAATTATAAATGAATATTTACTTACATCATTAGATTCGCTACTATTCCAACCATTCATTATAATATTATATAAATATAATTTACCTACCAAATAAAAATAAAAGGGTTATAAAGTAAGTAACCTTTATAATTAAAAATATATCAAAATACATTTTCATACTTTCTTTACTCAAATATTATTAAATACTTTTGAAAAAAATCTCTGTATTTAAATGAAATTTTTTAGCCTTAGAAAAAATAATTTAAAGAAAATAAAAAATCTTTATTACAGACAAAATCTAATTAATAATATTTGAAATGCGCCAACAGCTATATTAATATATATTTTTTTTGTTGGATTTATTTGTTTCTCACTTCTTTATGGATTTATTTGTTTCTCACTTCTTTAAAAATAATTAAAATTATATGTATACATAACTTTATATTAATAATAAATAATTGAATAAGTTTTAGAAAAAGAGTGAATAAATTATTAAAAAACTATAAAGAATCAAACAATTATTTTGAGATAAATAAATATGCGAAAAATAGCCTTAATGATTCATACAAGTCAAATAAAGCAAATAAACTATAGGAAAAGAAGCAACCTTATAGCTTGAAGGAAATTAAAAATACTTGAAAGAAAATAAGGGTATTAGTAAGTAATATTTATAGGTTTTGATTGAAAAACATTAAATAGTTTATAAGCTAATTAATTTAGATATATATAATGGTGTGATTTAACATATTAGAAAATAGTGGATAAAGCAGAGCTTATGTAAGCAATTTTGTCAGGAATTATGAACTTGTTAAAGAGTATTGATTTAACTTTATATTTACAAATTTATTTTCTTTAAATTTCAGTCTATTTCTCTAAAAAAAGTTGATTGAGCATTTTTTATTATAATGATCATCTATTTTTTTTTCTAAAAAAATAATGTACTATTTTTTAAAAATTTTTAAATATACGATATAAAATATGAAAAAGATAGAATTAGAGTAGAGTCATTAAAAAGATTTTTCAAAATTTAGATGAAATATATAAATATAATTGCCAGAAAATTTGAATGTTGTTATCAATTTTTAAAGATTTTTTAGATCGGTAGTAGTAGTCATTTTAATATTATATTTTTGCGCAAAAATACTGTAAATTTAAAAATGCTTTTAATAATTCATTTAAAGAAAGCTAAACCTTTTATATAAAAAATGAAGATTTTTATCTTTCCTTCTTTTCTTAGTATGATGTAATATTGAAAATATCTTTAAGGAAATTAAAAATACTTGAAAGAAAATAAGAATATTAATAAGCAACATTAATAGCTTTAATTGAAAAAAATTAAATTGTTATGATCTAATTAATTGAGATATATATAATGGTGCAGTTTAAAAAGTTAGATTGTGGATAAAGCAGAGCTTAGGAAAACAATTTTATTATGAACTTGCTTAGGAGCATTGCTTTTACTTTATATTTACAAATGTATATACTATAAATTTCAGTATTTTTCTCTAAAAAAAGTTGATTGAGCATTTATTATTGTTATGTTCATCTATTTTATTTTCTATAAAAATAATGGACTATTTTTTAAAAATATTTAAAAATGAGATAAAAAATATGAAAATGACAGCATTAAAGTAGAATCATTTATATGATTTTTCAAAATTTAGATGAAAAATATAAATATAATGGCCAGAAAATTTGAATATTGTTATTTATTTTTAAAGCTTTTTTATCTAGATATTAGACGCTTTAATATAATATTTTTGTGCGAATATTCTGTAATTTACATACACTTTTAATAATTCATTTAATGAAAGCTAAATCTTTTATACAAAAAATCAAGATTTTTATTCTTTCTTCTTTTCTTAGTATGATGTAATATTTAAAATTTAAAAGTGATGGATAACTATGATTGGTTAAATATTATTTTTTTATGTTTATTAGCTTAACTTTGATCTTACATCTTACCAATTTATGAGTGCTTTTATACATGAATTTAATTATAATTAAACAACAGTATATCTTTGCTTCTTAGTTTTTTATAACTAATCTAAATTCTTTGAATTAATTTGATCTTATTATCTTTTTAAAAATCTTATAATAGATTTAATTATTTTTAAATTTTTAATTTTTAACCTTATGAAAAATAAAATAAAATAGATTTTAGTTTTATACTTAATTAAAATAAATATTTTTCTTATTAAATTATTGTATATGTCCTGATTACAGATAAATACATTCAAATATCTAAATTAAATTTCAAAAAATTTGTATTTAAAGATTTATTACTGAAGCAAATTAAAAGCTAACCTTCATTACTCTTATTTTCACTGATTGCAAATTTTTAATTATTCATCTGCCCAGAATAATAAGATTCTGTTTACTCTTGATTATTTTATGCAAGGTAAATAAGTAGAAATTTGCTAGAAAAATTAGAACACTAGCTTATTTTGTTTAAAGTGTTTAAGATTAAAAATTAAATTTTCAGTTTTTATTTGAAAAAATTGCCATTACATCTCTCTTAATATAAATTTTTTGACTAGGATAAAATAAAAATGTATTAAGAGAGAGTGATAAGTGTTTATGCACACAGATAATTTTCAAAATTTCCTCAAAAGAAAAGGAAATAAATTAATTACATTAGATTTTTATTAATGCAATTATTTTTTGAAAGTAATTTATTTATAATTAATAATTAATTTTTGATGTGTGAATTAAATTTATTTTATATTTTTAAATGGAAGGAATTTATAAAATAAATTTTAAAGTATTTTATTTTATATGAATTTTTATTAAAAAAATTTCAAGATAAAATCACTTTATTTTTTAATTTTAATAAAGAATTTAAAAAATAAATAAATTTACATTAAGAAGAAGTTGTAATAGCCTTAAAAAATAGAGAGACGAAAAATAAATATCTTAGTTACTTACTATTTAATAATCCGTTTTACTTAGTGAGTGATTGTAGATATGATAAAAGGTTTTACTAAATTTAGCTATCAGTGCATTAAAATATTATTTAAAGTGTTTAATTTTAAAATTAATTAATTGTTAATATGTATCTGTTAGCCTAAAAATTTTTTAGCAACCTAAATAATACATTAAAATTTAATTAAAAAGTAGTTTTTCCATTTTTTTTAATGCTAATAAGATATAACTTAAAAAAAATTGTCTCGAATATTAATAATATATTGCTATTTTCCATAAAATCTAAATCAGAAAACATATTTTTTTTTATTTATTGTTGATTACATAATAGATATGACGTTATATGTGTGTTTACAAATTATTAATTATTGTTTTAATTATATTAATGTTAAAAATAAGTAAGTTTGTTTGTTTTATTAGAAATGTAAGAATAAAATTATATATATTAATTATTAATTAGTTGTGATTTAAATATCTTAAAAAATACTGTTCATTATTTTCTTTACAATTTCAATAAGTCAATTTGTGAGATATTAATTTATCAGTTTTGATATTGCAACATAATATCAATCACTGAATAATATGAAATTTTTTCAAGTTGTATTTTAATTTGATATTGGTTTATAAATTTGATAATAATAAAAACAAGGCCAATAAAAAGTATTTTTACAATTTATTGATTATTCTTTTAATTATATTAATTTTTTTAAGATAAATAAGTTTGTTTATTTCATTAGAAATGTTAGAATCAAATTAGATATATTAATTGTTAATTCGTTGTGATTTAGATATCCTAATAAATACTGTTAATTATTTTCTTTACAATTTTAATAAGTCAATTTGTGTGATATTAATTTATCAGTTTTGAAATTGCAATATAATATCAATCAATAATATGAATTTTTTAAAATTAGTATTTTAATTTGATATTGGTTTATAAATCTGATAGTAAATAAAAACAAGACCAACAAAAAGTAAGTAAGTAGGTAAGTAAATAAGTAAGCCATTAGCAATTCAAGCAGGTAATTTATAAATGAAGCATTTTCTGAAAGAATCTAACAATAAATTAATATGTTCTTTACTTATGAATATAAAGTATTTATCTACTCTTTAGTTTATAAGTACACTTTTTATAGGTTTGTTTTCATTTATTTTTTGTTTTGAGGTTCGTTCTTTATAATTAACAAACAACCTCTCTTTCTTTATATATGGTTAAATCAATTTGGTTTTAGTAAAAAATATGAAATCTTAATGTAGCTACATTCTGATTGATCACCATATTATCTGTTACTACTTTATAGATTAGATTAAATATATTGCTAAAACAAAATAGTTATTTCATTTAAATATAGCTTTAAGAGTTCTTACAGTTTACGTTGATTGATAAATTCTTAAAATAAGTTGTTTAGCATCGACAGAATATATATATATTTATTTTGCAACAAAATAATCTTTTCCATTCTTATTTAATTATATTAGTTTACTTTAAATTAAAGTTTCGTTACTTTATTATAAATGAATTAAATGCAATCGATTTAAGTTATTTAAATTTTTTATGAAAATTGGCATTGCATATTTTGATAAATTGAAGAACTGCACTTAATAAATACAAGCAATTAATTTAAAAAAAAACAATATAAAAAACAAATTCACAAAACACTTCCAAAAAAAATGAACTAAGCTAACCAAAATTAATTGATTATTATGAAGAATATTCTCTTTTTGGCTAAACAAAGTGGCTAAGCCATATCTAGCTAAAGAAATCTACTAAATAAGTGGTTCTAAGATTCTATAAAAACCTATATTTTTGAGTCTTATGCATCTCCTCTGATTGCAAACTACCTAAAATTAAAAACATCTACAGAAGTTAAGACCTTTATCCACAAAAAAATAGACAAAAATAAACCAAAATACATGGGAATCATAGAATAATATTTTATTTATATAAATCAATACAATTAATAAGACGAGTTTATAAACAAACTTCAATAAATAATTTTGAATCCTGAAGACATTACTTCTATGGAAAGTGAACTCTCTTACAATACAATGAAAATTGTTAGAAAATAGTTTGTGTGTTTGCTAATCCTAAAATACTTTAAATTATTTGGTCAACAAGAAATGGCATCCTTTTATGATTTGTGGAACACATGCTTCCCCTAAGAACTTCAAGTTAAGAAAAAACTCTCTAAATTTGATAAAAAGAGTGATAATAAAAAGTAAAAAATCATTCTTAAATAAGATTTTGATTAAGATAGCTCTTTACGCTCTTCTTTAAATTTCTAAAATTGCAGCACTTCTCTTTCTTCTAATAATTAATCAGAAATATCTAATTAAAAAATTATCACAATCTCGGGTACTCAGATGATAGATAATTAAAATCAAATAAAATAAGACCAAAATTTATAAATTAGCTATAACTTTAATTTTAATTCTTAGAAAAAACCAATAAATAATAGAATATTTGATGAAGAGAGTTATGAAGAAAAATCAATGGACCATTATCTGCAATTTAATAACTTATCAAATTTGTGCTAAAACGAATAATAACAACCTACTTAGATTAATTGTGATGCAGATTATTTCGGTCAGTATTAAAATTAATAAGAATTTTTCTATGTCTCATAAGACAAAAAGTGCTTTTAATAATAAGAATATTATGAAGATCAACTTTACGAAATTAACTACCCTTCAAATTTCCATTTTTTATAATAAAATAACAACTAACACATGAATTAAATTAACCAAAATTGATAGATTAATACTAATACTATTAACTTTCACATTATCAAATTATTCTTTTATCCTCTATCTCTCAAATAAAAAATTTAAATTAAATAGATATAACTAACTTCATATTCACTATCAATAATAAATATATTATTTATTTTATCTATTATAGTTAATTTCATTCTTATTTATTATATAAATAATGAATAACATAATTAATTTTAACCAATATATTAATTCATTTATCAATAAAATATTATTGTTAAATAACATTTACAATATTTATTTTCATTAATTTTGGATTTTTATTAAATCTATATGAGTAAATACTGTAAGATCACTTAATTTGGAGATTTAAATTATGAAATAAAAGAATACTTAGAATTTACATTTAAAATTAAAAATGATATTTTTTTTAAGTTAATTAAGTGTCTTTGAAATATATTTAATATGATATCTAAATATTATTAAATTTATTAGCGAATGTGAACTATTTGATCATAAAGGGGATTTTACATACAAATAATTAAATTTTCAAAAATATAATAATCTATTTGATTAATTACTGGTTAAATCAGCCTATTTAAAAACATTTTTAATAACTGTAAAATCAACAAATTAGACACTAAACATTGAAATTATATTTATTAATTTTAAATAATATCCATTTATTTAACAAGCAGTTTTTATATCTTCGTATTAAAAAATGAAATTTGAATTAATCTATCTAATTATTTAAAAGTTTTTGAGAGAAATCTAGAGTAAACTAAATTCTGATATCAATAAAATTTATGAATGTAATCTTAATTTTTAATTAAAATTTATATTAACAAATAACATAATTCAATTAATGATTTATTTATTTTAATAAAAACTAAATAATTTCTACTATGAGAAAAGGAAATGATTTTACATTGATTGTAGTTTTTATTTAATAAATTAGTATATTTTTTTAAATAAAACTAGTATGTGAAAATATTTCCTACATTAAATTAATAAGAGGCGATTATAAAGATAACAAAATGTTGCAATAAGTATAATAGAGAAGGTAAATATATTTTAAGGTAACTATTTGTTTAAATCAATTTCGTATTTAATTAATTATTTAAGTTATTTTAATAAATAATATTAAATAAGTTATTTCTCCTTTGGTAAATCCATAATTATTTTGATTGATTAATTAAATATCCTTTAGATCTTTAATATGAGTTCAATTATCACAAATTAAAATGTGTAAATAATTGTATTAAACTAATCAAACAAAATCTTTTATATAAACTATTAAATATATTTTAAGGCAATATATATTATTTCACTAATCATAATTTTTAAAATTAATTTATTTTATTAAACCAAATTTATGTCAAAATATAAAAAGCATTTAGAGTAAATATATTCATATAAAGCAAAGAATATTATTAAGGGAGGGTGTAGGCTATGAAAATGGCACAGCTTCTAAGAAAATTAATTTCAACTAATTTAAATTCCAAAAAAATAGTTTAAGTCTTAAAACATAAAAGAGCACTCCCATTTTTACCAAGATAAAGAATAAAAATAAATTATTTAAAAACTTTAGTATGTTATTTAGCTTGATACAATATTTAAAGGTAAATTTTGATTTAACAATACTAATTTCATAATTGATTTTACAATATTTGAATGGTGGGTTGATTTTAGGTAATTATTTTCTTTATTTACAAATATTAAAAGTTGCTTGACATAAAATCAGAAAATTTTCTTGTTACTTCATCAAGTTATTTAATCTAAAACAAAAAAATTTAAATTATGCGGTAAAAAGTTAATTTATTATTATTCAAATGAAATATCGTCAAATAATTGATAGAATTGATTGTATTAGGAATTTATTCTTTTTATCTTTCAATAGTTTGTAATTCAAATACAATTAAAACCCCGTAAATTATGTAAATAATATCTTTTTTAACTTATTCAACCTAATTTTAATTACTTTGTTATAACTATTAATTTAAAAAAATTCTCTAGTATTCTATCATTAAAAACACTGTAAATGAATGTTTATTAAAAAAAGATATTATATTTTAAAAATTGAAATCCATCTATTTATATTTTATCTAAAACAGTCCAAAATTAATGTATAATTTTTATGATAGAAATAAATTTATAATATAAATCTCATGAAAAATTTTAATTTTACTGTCTAACGTAAAAATATAATTTACTCAATTATTCTTTTAGTATTTACCACGAGTTTGCTTAACTAAGCTGTAAATTATTAATGTAAAATCAGCACAATAATAAATCAGTATCAGATAATATATTTTTTTTGTGATAGGTTTCCAGGATTAAAATTAGTTTTTTAACAAGTTTTTTGAGAAAATATCAGTTTTTAATGGATTTCACTTTTAATTGTAACTAAAATATAAAACATATCATATCACTGTTATTAATATTTAGTTTGATAATTTGAAAAAATCAGAACTAAATTATAATTTTGTATGCGTATTAGGATTTCATAAAAAAAGGTTGACTTTAATTTGAGATTTAGATCAGAAAGTTTATTGTTTTTAATCTTTCCTTACTTTCATTTAAGATTTGCGAAGAGCAATTTTTAATTTCTTTCAATGTATACTTATTTATGGAATTTTTACAATATATAAACTAGTTTAATACGATATTTAAAGCGATTTACTATACATAAATGATTTTTTGCAAATTTTACATAATTAATTTAAAGTTATAAAAATAAATTATTTAAAAGAAACATAAATACATAGAATATTTTTCATAGTTTTGAAAAATAGTTTAAGTTATTGCAATCAAAAAAAATTTAAATACCAATCAAATGTAAATATTCTTTATTTATGTATATATTTTTGAGAGAACAAAATAAAATGTTTAAATTTGCTATATATTTTTTCTATTTCTTTAATTTGAGTACTTACTTGTATTTGAGCTTAAATAGTTTATGCTATCTTGAAGCTAATTAATTATAATATATAAAAATAAAATTAATTAATCAGAATATATGATAATATATTATTTTCATTATTAAAAGAAATTCTTAAAAATGTACGTACACAAAGAAGAAGATCTTTTTCTTAATAATTTTTTGAACACCCAAATATATTAAATTTATTTAAAATATAATAATGTTAATTACATTAATTATAGGATGCTTGAATTTTGTCACTGTAAAAGCTTAATCCTTAAAAATGTATATTAAATAAATTACAATTAAATTAAAAGAAATTAAAAAAAATTAGTTTCAATAAGATATCAATCAATCAAATGAAATAAGATAATAACTAAGAACTCATTATTTTGAATAATATTCTCTTCTTGGTTAATTTAAGTAAAACGAGTTAATCAAGCTAAAGAAATCTACTAAATAAATGGTTTTAAGATTCTATCAAGAGTTACGTATTAGAAACTGTTGCCGCTCCTCTGATAGTCAAACATCTTTGCTTTAGCTCTACCACATAATTAAAAACATTTATTCACTCACAAAAAACTATTTAATGTAAACCTAAATACATGAGGATTATTGAATGGTATTTCTTCTATATCAAAAAATACAATCAAGAAGATCTATTTATATAAAATATTTAGTAAATTCTTTCAAATCCAGAAGATATTACTTAAAGCAGCACAAAAAAAACATATAATGCTTTAAAAGCTGTGAGAAAATAGTTTGTGTGCCTTTTAATCTTAAAGTATTTTAAAATATATGAACAATAAGAAATACCTTCCTTTTATGAACTGTGGAACATTTGTTATCCTTAAGAAATTCAAATAAAAAAAAAACTCACAAAATTCGACAAATAAATTAAATCAGATATAATGATCAAAGAAGAAGTCAATTGTAATGACTCTTTAATTTCCTCTACTGCTCATTTATTTAATTGTAGTTCCTCGCTTTCTTTATAGAATTAATAAGACTATATAAATGAAGAAATTTCTACTTATATAAACTCAAGTAAAAATAGTGTTAAGTAGTCTTTCGAAAACACGAATAATTATGCGTAAAGTAACGATTATTCTGATTATAAGTCATGCAAATAACCAATCAATAATAGAATATTTGAAGAAGATAGTTACGAAGAAGAATCTATGAACCATTTTCTGTAATTTAACAAACCAACCCAGTAATAAAATGAAGAACAATCTACCAACTCAAAAGATTAATTTGATGATGACTAAGAATTATAGAGAAGAAAATATTAATTGTTATGTTTTTAACAAAATCCATAATTCAATTGATAATAAAGCTATTAATTTCATAAAAGTACATTCCTTCTTAAAAAGAATATTAATAAAATATCATTTTTTTGCAATAAGATAACAATCAAAAATAAATTAACACTTTCATTTTGTGTTAAATCTAATATTATCTAATTAATACTTACTTTCTTTAAATATATATAAATTCAGACCTGCACTGAATCAATACGCTAATTAATTAATCAATTATTTATTTATGCATATTTACCTTCAAACACTTTAAACAATATAAAATAAATTCCATTTTAAAAATATTTATAGTTTCTAAAGGAATAAAAAAAATCTATTTAGATTAAAATTAATTAAAAATCCTTTTACAGTTTCTAAGATTAAAATTATAGTCTGTGCTATAATATAGACCATAAAATATAATTAATATAGATCGAAATAAAGGAAAAATGGTAATTCTAATAATTTATTTTGATCAAAAATCTGTATTATAAATATCAAAATTTAGTTTGCAAAAATTCAATATTACAGTATAAATTTTAAATTCATATTATATATAAATAAAAGCATTAAACAGAATTTTATAATATTATCTTATTTTTCATTATTGGATTTCTTATATTTTTTCTAATTAAAAATAAGTGATTTTAACTGAATAAATTAGTATATATTTTCAATTAAATTGATTTTGTTTTAAAGAGCTAAATAGTTTTGAAAGTAATAAATTAATGCAAATGCATTTTATCAAAAAATTAGAAAGCACTTTAAAAGCTTATATAATTATGGCTTTCAGAAATTTCAGAAATAGGAAAGAG